AGCCAGTCAGCAGGAGGAGAGAGACAGCTCCAGAGGAGAGGGTAGCCAGTCAGCAGGAGGAGAGAGACAGCTCCAGAGGCCAGCCAGCCAGTCAGCAGGAGGAGAGAGACAGCTCCAGAGGAGAGGGTAGCCAGTCAGCAGGAGGAGAGAGACAGCTCCAGAGGAGAGGGTAGCCAGTCAGCAGGAGGAGAGAGGACAGCTCCAGAGGAGAGGGTAGCCAGTCAGCAGTAGGAGAGAGACAGCTCCAGAGGCCAGCCAGCAGTCAGCAGGAGGAGAGAGACAGCTCCAGAGGAGAGGGTAGCCAGTCAGAAGGAGGAGAGAGACAGCTCCAGAGGAGAGGGTAGCCAGTCAGCAGGAGGAGAGAGACAGCTCCAGAGGAGAGGGTAGCCAGCCAGTCAGCAGGAGGAGAGAGACAGCTCCAGAGGAGAGGGTAGCCAGTCAGCAGGAGGAGAGAGACAGCTCCAGAGGAGAGGGTAGCCAGCCAGTCAGCAGGAGGAGAGAGGACAGCTCCAGAGGAGAGGGTTAGCCAGTCAGCAGGAGGAGAGAGGACAGCTCCAGAGGAGAGGGTAGCCAGTCAGCAGTAGGAGAGAGACAGCTCCAGAGGCCAGCCAGCCAGTCAGCAGGAGGAGAGAGACAGCTTCAGAGGAGAGGGTAGCCAGTCAGCAGGAGGAGAGAGACAGCTCCAGAGGAGAGGGTTAGCCAGCCAGCAGGAGGAGAGAGACAGCTCCCAGAGGAGAGGGTAGCCAGTCAGCAGGAGGAGAGAGACAGCTCCAGAGGAGAGGGTAGCCAGTCAGCAGGAGGAGAGAGACAGCTCCAGAGGCCAGCCAGCCAGTCAGCAGGAGGAGAGAGACAGCTCCAGAGGCCAGCCAGCCAGTCAGCAGAGGAGAGACAGCTCCAAGAGGAGAGGGTAGCCAGTCAGCAGGAGGAGAGAGACAGCTCCAGAGGAGAGGGTAGCCCAGTCAGCAGGAGGAGAGAGACAGCTCCAGAGGCCAGCCAGCCAGTCAGCAGGAGGAGAGAGACAGCTCCAGAGGAGAGGGTAGCCAGTCAGCAGGAGGAGAGAGACAGCTCCAGAGGAGAGGGTAGCCAGTCAGCAGGAGGAGAGAGACAGCTCCAGAGGAGAGGGTAGCCAGTCAGCAGGAGGAGAGAGACAGCTCCAGAGGAGAGGGTAGCCAGTCAGCAGGAGGAGAGAGACAGCTCCAGAGGAGAGGGTAGCCAGTCAGCAGGAGGAGAGAGACAGCTCCAGAGGAGAGGGTAGCCAGTCAGCAGTAGGAGAGAGACAGCTCCAGAGGAGAGGGTAGCCAGTCAGCAGGAGGAGAGAGACAGCTCCAGAGGAGAGGGTAGCCAGTCAGCAGGAGGAGAGAGACAGCTCCAGAGGAGAGGGTAGCCAGTCAGCAGTAGGAGAGAGACAGCTCCAGAGGAGAGGGTAGCCAGTCAGCAGGAGGAGAGAGACAGCTCCAGAGGAGAGGGTAGCCAGTCAGCAGGAGGAGAGAGACAGCTCCAGAGGAGAGGGTAGCCAGCCAGTCAGCAGTAGGAGAGAGACAGCTCCAGAGGAGAGGGTAGCCAGTCAGCAGGAGGAGAGAGACAGCTCCAGAGGAGAGGGTAGCCAGTCAGCAGGAGGAGACAGACAGCTCCAGAGGAGAGGGTAGCCAGTCAGCAGGAGGAGATAGACAGCTCCAGAGGAGAGGGTAGCCAGTCAGCAGGAGGAGAGAGACAGCTCCAGAGGAGAGGGTAGCCAGTCAGCAGGAGGAGAGAGACAGCTCCAGAGGAGAGGGTAGCCAGTCAGCAGGAGGAGAGAGACAGCTCCAGAGGAGAGGGTAGCCAGTCAGCAGGAGGAGAGAGACAGCTCCAGAGGAGAGGGTAGCCAGTCAGCAGGAGGAGAGAGGACAGCTCCAGAGGAGAGGGTAGCCAGCCAGTCAGCAGGAGGAGAGAGACAGCTCCAGAGGAGAGGGTAGCCAGTCAGCAGTAGGAGAGAGACAGCTCCAGAGGAGAGGGTAGCCAGCCAGCAGGAGGAGAGAGACAGCTCCAGAGGCCAGCCAGCCAGTCAGCAGGAGGAGAGAGACAGCTCCAGAGGAGAGGGTAGCCAGTCAGCAGGAGGAGAGAGACAGCTCCAGAGGAGAGGGTAGCCAGTCAGCAGTAGGAGAGAGACAGCTCCAGAGGAGAGGGTAGCCAGTCAGCAGGAGGAGAGAGACAGCTCCAGAGGAGAGGGTAGCCAGTCAGCAGTAGGAGAGAGACAGCTCCAGAGGAGAGGGTAGCCAGTCAGCAGGAGGAGAGAGACAGCTCCAGAGGAGAGGGTAGCCAGTCAGCAGGAGGAGAGAGACAGCTCCAGAGGAGAGGGTAGCCAGTCAGCAGGAGGAGAGAGACAGCTCCAGAGGAGAGGGTAGCCAGTCAGCAGGAGGAGAGAGACAGCTCCAGAGGAGAGGGTAGCCAGTCAGCAGGAGGAGAGAGACAGCTCCAGAGGAGAGGGTAGCCAGTCAGCACGAGGAGAGAGACAGCTCCAGAGGAGTTAGTCAGCTAACTTGCCTAAATATTCTGAAATATATACACTACCGTTTAAAAGTTTGGGGTCACTTAGAAATGTCCTTGTTTTCGAAAGAAAAGCAATTTTTTTGTCCATTAAAATAACATCAAATTAATCAGAAATACAGTGTAGACATTGTTAATGTTGTAAATGGCTATTGTAGCTGGAAACAGCTGATTTTTAATGGAATATCTACATAGGCGTACAGAGGCCCATTATCAGCAACCATCAGTCCTGTGTTCCAATGGCACGTTGTGTTTGCTAATCCAAGTTTATCATTTTAAAAGGCTAATTGATCATTAGAAAACCCTTTTGCAATTATGTTAGCACAGCTAAAAACTGTTATGCTGATTAAAGAAGCAATAAAACTGGCCTTCTAGAGACTAATATAATTATAATAATCCATTTAGCAGACGCTTTTATCCAAAGTGACTTACAGTCATGTGTGCATACATTTTTACGTATGGGTGGTCCCGGGGATCGAACCCACTACCCTGGCGTTACAAGCACCATGCTCTACCAATTGAGCTACAGAGGACCAGACTAGTTGAGTATCTGGAGCATCAGCAATTGTGGGTTCGATTACAGGCTCAAAATGGCCAGAAACAAATAACTTTCTTCTGAAACTCGTCAGTCTATTCTTGTTCTGAGAAATGAAGGCTATTCAATGCGAGAAATTGCCAAGAAACTGAAGATCTCGTACAACGCTGTGTACTACTCCCTTCACAAAACAGCGCAAACTGGCTCTAACCAGAATAGAAAGAGGAGTGGGAGGCCCCGGTGCACAACTGAGCAAGAGGACAAATACATTAGAGTGTCTAGTTTGAGAAACAGGCGCCTCACAGGTCCTCAACTGGCAGCTTCATTAAATAGTACCCTCTCAACGTCAACAGTGAAGAGGCGACTCCGGGATGCTGACCTTTTAGACACTCTAATGTATTTGTCCTCTTGCTCAGTTGTGCACCGGGGCCTCCCATTCCTCTTTCTATTCTGGTTAGAGCCAGTTTTCCAACAGGACAATGACCCAACACACCTCCAGGCTGTGTAAGGGCTATTTGACCAAGAAGGAGAGTGGTGGAGTGCTGCATCAGATGACCTGGCCTCCACAATCCCCCGACCTCAACCGAATTGAGATGGTTTGGGATGAGTTGGACGGCAACAAGTGCTCAGCATATGTGGGAACTCCTTCAAGACTTTTGGAAAAGCATTCCAGGTGAAGCTGGTTGAGAGAATGCCAAGAGTGTGCAAAGCTGTCATCAAGGCAAAGGGTGGCTACTTTGAAGAATCTCAAATATTACATATTTTATTATTTGTTTAACACTTTTTTGGTAACTACATGATTCCATATGTGATATTTCATAGTTTTGATGTCTTCACTATTATTCTACAATGTAGAAAATAGAAAAAATAAAGAAAAATCCTTGAATGAGTAGGTGTCCAAACTTTTGACTGGTACTGTATATATTTTTAAAGATAAGCTTGAAATGGGCATGGTCTAATTCAGGGTTTCCCAAACTCAGTCCTGAGGTCCCACCTGCGTCCAGCCCTAGCCCAACACCCCCCCCCCCCCCCCCCCCCCCCCCCGTGCACGTTTTGGTTTTTGCTCTAGCACTACACAGCTTATTCAAATAACCAACTCATCATTAAGCTTTGGTGGCCAAGACCGAGTTTGGGAGACCCTGATCTAATTGACTGAACAACCAAAAACACACACACACACCTCATGAAGCAGGATGAGAGAATGCCAAGAGTGTGCAAAGCTGTCATCAAGGCAAAGGGTGGCTATTTGAAGAATCTCAAATATAAAAAAACTATTTTACTACATGATTCCATATGTGTTATTTCATAGTTTTGATGTCTTCACTATTATTCTACAATGTAAAAATAAAGAAAAACCCTTGAATGAGTAGGTGTCCAAACTTTTGACTGGTAGTGTATGTTGGTTTGGTCGAGTCAGTCATACCATGCATGCCCATCCCATGTTAACTGTCTGCATGAAGTGGGAAATCTGCATTTATTTTCAGAATATTTAGGAAGCTGGTTAAATGATCCTGTTTTGTGATAGGCTATACTTCTGGTAACATGCATCATAGCTGAACACTAATTGTAGAGACAGAGTATAGGCCTAATCTTATAATTACAGTAATGTGCGAATGAAGGGAATTGGAGCTTCTCTCCCCCAACTCTCTGTATAGTTTACAGCGGTGTCACCAGCGGGACAAACTTAACTCTCATGGAGTTTTCTGTTCTTATAAAACTCCACAAATACACAACTCCAGGCGATCCATTATTTTCCCTAGTTCTCATTCCTCTGTCTCTTTCCTTTATCCCACAGCCACAAACTTAAGCACAGCAGCGAGAGAGAGAGAAGAGAGAGAGAGAGAAGAGAGAGAGAGAGAAGAGAGAGAGAGGGAGCGGTCATCCAACAGACTCCACCTCTAAACCCCAGCCAGCGAACGGAGAGAGACCCGACGGCATAAAAATGAGTGGTTCCCACCTCCGCCAGCACCAGTCGGCCCAGCCTGCATTCAACGCCCTTTCCCCGGACAAAGACGCAGACATGCCGCTACAGAGAAGGACCTCGCCGAGGACGCGCCGTGGAAGAAGATCCAACAGAACACGTTCACCCGCTGGTGTAACGAGCATCTGAAATGCGTCAACAAACGGATCGCCAATCTCCAGACGGACCTGGGTGACGGGCTGCGGCTGATCGGACTCCTCGAGGTGTTGAGCCAGAAGAAGATGTTCAGGAAATACAACCAGCGGCCCACCTTCCGACAGATGCAGCTCGAGAACGTCTCGGTGGCGCTCGAGTTCCTAGACAAGGAGAACATCAAGCTGGTGTCTATAGGTGGGTCAAAAAGTTCTACTGTAACGTTATATCATGCTGGTGTTGATAGGAGGGTGACTGTTCATTCAAGTGTAGCCTTCCCTACCATATAGGTGGGTGGAACCGTTAGGCTACTGTAGACTCCAATAATACTCCGTAGTTAGGCTGCTATAGATAGACCTACTGTGGGCTACTTTACATCCAGCAGCGGTCCATAGATTGGTCTAAAAGGTACTGTAGTAGGCTACTCTATTGACCGAGGTATAAACATCAAGCGGGGCGATTCCACGCCAGTGTGATCCGAAAATATTTTTGGTATCGGATTGTTCTGGCAATTCTCACAGACACTTAATTGGGAGGAATGCATTTTACATTTGTATCACAAACCATTTTTGAGAACCATAATGCAATGGCGATTTTAAGCTCCTTTTAGACCCATACGTGCCTCCTGTAAGACCCTATGATCATTGAACCGTATGGAGTTACTTTTGTGCCGTTAATATCACGCAGAACTTCTGAAGTCGAGAACAAAATGTAATATTTCAAACAAAAATAATGATATTGAAAGTATAACATAAACCCAAGGTACTGAAATAAATAAATAACAATGCAAGGAAATAATCATATTGTAAATGATCAAAAGCCTCCCTCTTTGCCTGCATTGTCCCTGTCTTTGGTTGTCACCCTGGCCTTTGCTGCCTTTTTTTTGCGGTTGCACGTTTTTTTCATTCATTCCAGCAGAAATACCACCTGGCATCCCACTGCTGGTTTGCCTCTGAAGCTAGGCAGGGTCGGTCCTGGTCAGGCTCTGGATGGGAGATGACTGAGTAGAGCGACCAGTTTAGGAGATAGTAGTCAAGTAAAGATGTGGAAGCTTGTATCTGTCAATTGATCAGTGTCCAGTGCCTGTGGTTGAGCTAGTGTTGTTCCTACAGTAGGCTTGGCGGTAGGCTATATGCTACAGTAGGCTAGGCTAATGCTATATGCTACAGTAGGCTAATGCTATATGCTACAGTAGGCTAGGCTAATGCTATATGCTACAGTAGGCTAATGCTATATGCTACAGTAGGCTAGGCTAATGCTATATGCTACAATAGGCTAGGCTAATGCTATAGGCTGACTGATGGGAACAGCAGTGTGTGTACTGAGCTGAGCTAGCCGGAACGGTACGCAATAACGACATACAGTTACGCAAAACTGCCCCTGCCCCCTGTAGAATGACTTCTGCCTGTAGTTTAGGAGTTGGGACATTCTTCATTTTGAATCACAGGATTATCTGTGGTGGTGGAGAAAGGAGAGGGTCAAATACATATGTATGGGTAGACAATGATAGATGTGCAGATACAGAATGGCTAGAACATGTTATGTGAAAGAACTGCTCCTCTAACCAGGGTTGATCAACTAGATGTCTTTTTTCTTCAGCGGATGGTGGGAGGGCCGGAACATAATTACAAATAATTTGTAGACTGCAAATTGACCGCAAGAAGCGCAAACGATCACGTGTCTCTCTATTATGTGTGGGAATACTTGGAAACAGATTGCTTAAATTAAAATAACTTGGAGCTGATTTCCTGGTGTTTTTACAGTCTTATGTCTAACAATGAAAATTCCACAATAAAAAAAAGAGTATATATAGATATATAATTTTTGGCTCAGAGGACTTGGGGGGCCAAATAAAACCAAGCGCGCCGCCAGTTGGGGAACCCTGACCTACACCCTGTTACTACAGCACCTCTAGCCCTGTAGCCCCTCTAGCCCTGTAGCCCTGTCATCCCCTCTAAGGCCCTGTATCACCCTCTAGCCCATGATCCCCTCTAGCCCTGTAGCACCTCTAGCCCTGTAGCCCCTCTAAACCTGTAGCCCTCTAAGCCCGCTAGCCCCTAGCCCTCTAGCCCGGTAGCCCCTCTAGCCCGAGCCCCTCTAAGCCCGTGTGCCCCTCTAGCCCTGTAGCCCCTCTAAGAACCCTTTTCCCCTCTATCCCTGTGTCCCTCTACCCTGTACACCTCTAGTCCCTGTAGTCCCTCTAGCCCTGTATCCCTGTAGCCCCTCGAGCCCTGTAGCCCTCTAGCCCCTTAGCCCTGTAGCAACCTTCTCGCCCGGTACCCTCCTAGCCTGTAGAAGCCCCCTCTAGCCCTGTACCCCTCTAGCCCCGTAGCCCTCTAGCCCTGACCCTCAGCCCCGACCCCTCTGCCCTGTAGCCCCTCTAAACCCGAGCCCCTAGCCCTGAGCCCTCTAGCCCTGTAGCCCCTCTAGCCCTGTAGCCCTGTAGCCCCTCTAGCCCTGTAGCCCTGTAGCCCCTCTAGCCCTGTAGCCCCTCTAGCCCTGTAGCCCCTCTAGCCCTGTAGCCCTGTAGCCCCTCTACCCTGTTCCCCTCTAGCCCTGTAGCCCTTAGCCCTTAGCCCTCTAGCCCTTAGCCCCCCCTAGCCCTGTAGCCCCTCTAGCCCTGTAGCCCTGTAGCCCCTCTACCCTAGCCCTGTAGCCCCTCTAGCCCTGTAGCCCTGTAGCCCCTCTAGCCCTGTAGCCCCTCTAGCCCCGTAGCCCCTCTAGCCCTGTATCCCTAGCCCTGTAGCCCTTTGCCTGTAGCCCCCTCTAGCCCCCGTAGCCCCTCTAGCCCTGTAGCCTCTGTAGCCCTGTAGCCCCTCTAGCCTTAGCCACCCTCCCCAGCCCTGGGAGCCCCTCTAGCCCTGTAGCCCCTCTAGCCCCTTAGCCCCTCTAGCCCTTAGCCCTGTACCTCCCTCAGCCCTGTAGCCCCTGTAGCCTGTAGCCCCCCCTAGCCCTAGCCCCCTAGCCCTGTAGCCCCTCTAGCCCCGTAGCCCCTGTAGCCCTGTAGCCCTGTAGCCCGTCCCCTAGCCCTGTAGCCCCTCTACCCGTGCCCCCCCTAGCCCGTACCCCTCTACCCTGTAGCCCCCTCTAGCCCTGTAGCCCTCTAAGCCCCCTTAGCCCCTCTCCTAAGCCCTTGCCCCTCTAGCCCTGTAGCCCTTAGCCCCTTAGCCCTGTGCCCCTGTAGCCCCCCTAGCCCTGTACCCCTCTAGCCCTGTAGCCTTTAGCCCCCCTAGCCCTGTAGCCCCTGACCCTGTATCCCTTAGACCTAAGCCTGTACCCCTCTAGCCCCGGAGCCCCGTACCCCTCTAGCCCTGTACCCCCGTACCCCTCTAGCCCTGTAGCCCCTCTAGCCCTGACCCTCTACCCTGTAGCCCCCCTAGCCCTGTAACCTCTAGCCCCCTGTAGCCCCTCTAGCCCTTAGCCTGTAGCCCCCTACCCTGTAGCCCCTCCCCTTTGCCCTTAGCCCTCTAGCCCCTCTTACCCTGTACCCCTCTACCCTGTAGCCCCTCTAGCCTGTAGCCCCCCTAGCCCTGTAGCCCTGTAGCCCCTCTAGCCCTGTAGCCCTCTAGCCCTGTAGCCCCTCTAGCCCTGTAGCCCCTCTAGCCCTGTAGCCCCTCTAGCCCTCTAGCCCTGTAGCCCCTCTAGCCCTGTAGCCCTGTAGCCCCTCTAGCCCTGTAGCCCCTTAGCCTGAGCCCCTCTGCCCTGTTAGCCCCTCTAGCCCTGTAGCCCCTCTAGCCCTGTAGCCCCTCTAGCCCTTTTAGCCCCTCTAGCCCTGGTAGCCCCCTCAGCCCTGTAAGCCCCTAGCCCTTAGCCCTGTAGCCCTCTAGCCCCGTACCGCCCCTCTACCCTCAGCCTGTGCCCTCTAGCCCTGTAGCCCCTCTAGCCCTGTAGCCCTCTAGCCCTGTAGCCCCTCTAGCCCTGTAGCCCCTCTAGCCCTGTAGCCCCTCTAGCCCTGTAGCCCCTCTAGCCCTGTAGCCCCTCTAGCCCTGTAGCCCCATCAGCCCCTTAAGGCCCTCTACCCTGTAGCCCCCCCTTAGCCCGTAAACCCCCCTAGCCTGTAGCCCTGTAGCCCCTCTACCCCGTAGGCCCCTCTAACCCTGTAGCCCCTCTAGCCCTGTAGCCTTAGCCCTGTAGCCCCCTAGCCCTTGTAGCCCCTCTAGCCCTTTGCCCCCCCCTAGCCCTGTAGCCCCTCTAGCCCGGGAGCCCTCTAGCCCGTAGCCCCTCTAGCCTGAGCCCTGTAGCCCCCCTAGGCCCTGTAGCCCTGTGCCCCTTAGCCCTGTAGCCCCTCTAGCCCTGTTAGCCCCTCGCCCTGTGCCCCTCTAGCCCTGTACCCCTCTACCCGACCCTAGCCCTGTAGCCCCTCTAGCCCTGTAGCCCCTCTAACCCTGGGAGCCCTTTGCGGGAGCCCCTTAACCCTTAGCCCCTTAGCCCTTACCCCTCTAGCCCTGTAGCCCCTCTAGCCCTGTAGCCCCCCTAGCCCCCTAGCCCTGTAGCCCCTCTAGCCCTGTAGCCCCTCTACCCTGTAGCCCCTTCTAGCCCCTAGCCCCTCTAGCCCTGAGCCCCTCTAGCCCTGTAGCCCTTAGCCTGTAGCCCCTTAGCCCTTATCCCCTTAGCCCTGTAGCCCCTCTAGCCCTGTGCCCTCAGCCCTGTAGCCCCTCTAGCCCGTAGCCCCTCTAAACCCTGTAGCCCCCTTCCCTCTAGCCCCCTCTAGCCCTGTAGCCCGTAGCCCCTCTAGCCCTGTAGCCCCCGTATCCCTCTAGCCCTGTTTGCCCCCGTAGCCCTCTAGCCCTGTAGCCCCTCTCCCAGCCCTGTAGCCCCCCCTAGCCCTGTAGCCCCCTGTAGCCCTGTAGCCCCTGTAGCCCCCTGTAGCCCCTCTAGCCCTGTAGCCCCGTAGCCCCCTCTAGCCCTGTAGCCCCTTTCCCTTAGCCCTTACCCTCTAGCCCCCCTTTGCCCTCTAGGGCCCCGTAGCCCTCTACCTTTGCCCTGTAGCACTTAAGCCCTGTACCCCCTCTAGCCCGTAGCCCCTGTGCCCCTCTAAGCCCTGTACCCCTTAGCCCCTTAGCCCTGTAGCCCCTCTAGCCCTTACCTGTAGCCCCTCTAACCCTGTAGCCCCCTAGCCCTTAAACCCTCTAGCCCGTAGCCCCGTAGGGCCCCCCTAGCCCTGTAGCCCCTCTAGCCTGTAGCCCTCTAGCCCTGTAGCCCCTCTAGCCCTGTAGCCCCTCAGCCCCTCTAGCCCTGTAGCCCCTCTAGCCCCTAGCCCTTAGCCCGTCCTGTAGCCCTGAGCCCTCTCCGTAAACCCCTCTAGCCCTGTAGCCCCTCTAGCCCTGTAGCCCCTCTAGCCCTGTACCCGACCCTAGCCCTTAGCCCCTCTAGGCCCTTTTAGCCCTCTAGCCTTACCCTCAGCCCCTCTAGCCCTGTAGCCCCTTAGCCCTGTAGGCCCCCCTAACCCTCTAGCCCCTGGTAGCCCCTCTAGCCCTGTAACCCACCCGAGCCCCGGTAGCCCTGTAGCCCTGAGCCCCTCTAGGCCTGTAGCCCTTAGCCCTGTAGCCCCTTAGCCTGATGCCCCTTGCCCTTCCCTTAGCCCGTAGCCCTTGGCCCCGTAGCCCGTTAGCCCGTACCTGTAGCCCCTGTAGCCCCTGTAGCCCTCTAACCGTAGCCCCTTAACCCGGGACCCCTTTTAAGCCCTTAGCCCCCCTACCTGTAGACCCTCTAGGTGCCCCTTTGTAGCCCCTCAGCCCTTGTTTGCCCTCTAGCCTGTAGCCCTCTGCCTTGCCCCTGTAGCCCCTCTAGCCCTGGCCCTGTACCCTCAGCCCCGTAGCCCCTCTAGCCCTGAGCCCCTCTAGGACCTTACCCTAGCCCCTCTAGCCCTTGACTTTGCCCCTTTAGCCCCCCCTGAGCCCTAGGCCTGTAGCCCCTCTAGCCTGTAGCCCCTCTAGCCCTGTAGCCCCTCTAGCCCCCTGTAGACCTGAGCCCTTAGCCCTTACCCTGTAGGGCCCCTCTAGCCCTGTGCCCCTCTAGCCTGAAACCACCCCCTTATCCTGTAGCCTGTAGCCCGTAGCCCCTCTAGTGAAACTTGGGTTAAGAGCCTGTATCAACCCTGACCCCTTACTAGCCGTAGCCCCGCCCTCAGCCCTTTGTGGAGCCCCCAGCCTGTTAGGTCTTAGTGTAGCCCCTTGCTTGTATTAGCCCCGCCCTTAGCCCCTTTTTAGTTTAGCCGTGCCCTTGTGCCCTCTAGTCCCGTGGCCCCAGCCCTTTAAGGGTCTAGCCCTGTCCCCTTAGCCTGAGTTTTGCCGGCCCCTAGCCTTAGCCCTCTAGCCCCTTAGTGGGGGCCCCTTAGCCCCCTTGTGTAGCCCTTCGTAACCCCTCTAGTGTAGCCCCGCTAGCCCCTCTACCTTGTTAGCCCTTTTAGGCCCCTTTGCCTTATCCCTCTGCCGGGACCCTCTGCCGTAGCCCTCTGCATGTACCCCTCTTAGCCCGTGCCTCTGCCCGTAGCCCTGTATCCCTCTAAACCTTAAAGGCCCCTTAGCTGTATGCCTCCAGCCGTAACCTTAGTTTGCCCCTTGCCTGTATCCCCCCTCTAAAGCCCTGTACCCCAGTTTATCCCCCCCCGCCCTGAGGAAGCCTGTAGCCCATTACCCCCTTTCATTGTGTACCTAGTCGACTTATTTTAAGTGAACCTTGTTGCCCTCACCCGGGCCCCGTTCATGCCAGCCCCTCACCCTCCCCAGCCCGATGTAATTAATGGCCCCTTCCGGTCTGCCTAGACCCCAGTGACCTCTATGTAGTGTATTACCCTCTGAACCCCCCAGCCCTCTAGTTAAGAGAAATCTTTAGTGAAGCCCTCACCGTCCCCTAGCCCTTAGCTGAGCCGTAGCCTCTAGCCTGAGACCCTTAGTGGGACCCTTTTAGCCTTATCTAGATGTGGCCCTTAAGCGGAGGGAGGGGCCCTTTTAGCCCCTTTAGGCCCCCCGGGTTTACCTTACCACCTTAGTTACCCTCTTAGTATTGTACAGTCCTTGATCAGGAGGTAATGTTACCTTGGTTGGAAATTGGTTTTCCGATTTGGATGTGACCCCCAAATGGATTCAGGGAAAGGGTTTCATTGGTATTCAGGAGGGGCCATTTATCCATCTTATTATTGGAGGGGGGGTTGGGGCCGTTGGGGTTAATTTGACATGCATTAGTGAATCTAGGCGTCCGCATGCTTCCCAGCCGAAACAGTTCTTAAGAGTTTGTGCATATGTTATGATGACATTTTGTATAGTTTTTATTCCTTTTGGACTTTTTTCTAGAGGCACGCCAAAGTCTGTAGCTGAAGTCTACACCCCTTCATTGTTGATTGGTCAACAGTAGGGATTCTTCAGTGAAGTCTTTGTTGTCATTCAACAAGAGACGACTCGTTTTCATGAACATCTCTTCATGGAGAAATACTGCACCAAACAGCTGAGTTAATGTAAAATTGTGCAAAAACGTCAAGAAATCTGTCATGAATGATCTTAGATTAATTCTGACTATTTTGATGAAGTGTATTACTACGCCGTCTCAATGGACAAACCATATTATTGCTGCTTTTTTCTTCTTCTTGTTTTGCAAGCGAAGGTCTTTTAAGGGAGTATGCGACTCATTCGGTTCCCCTAGCCGAGTTCTGCCAGGCGCTAGCCGTACTGAAGCATGCAGACGCCTTTAGTGGGATCGTCCTCTGAGGGGACTCATTATTCTAACGGCTCCTGTTGAGTCACATGATCCAATCTGGAGAGGAGAGGAGACTTTCTTCACTTCCTCCTTTCACATAAGGACCACACCCTTCCATCTAACCACATCTCACTCTCTCTCTCGCATTCTCTCAAGTTTCAACTTTTATTAGTAGTATGTACAGGATACACATGGTATACGCATGGTATACGCCGTCCAACCAAATGCTTACTTGCAGGTTCCTTCTGGACAACAATAAGAAATAATACCATATAAGAATAGGAACATAAAGTAAATGGATCAGTAGAACAGAATAAATGTTTTAGCATCAGTATAATACAGGAAGGAACCATTTATAGTCCAATATTTACAAAACTAATTGGAGAAGGGGGGGGCAGTGTATATACTGAGAGGTGTAAAACGTATGGTCACAGCAGTTGTGATGTGTGCGTGTGTGTGCGTGCGCGCGTGTGTGCGCGTGTGTGTGTGCGTGTGCGTGCGCGTGCGTGCGCGTGCGTGTGTGTGTGTGTGTGTGTGTGTGTATGTGGTGGTCAGTTCAAGTGTTCATCAATCTAATGACTTGTAGATAGAAACTGAGTGAACAGCTCGTGTCTGGGGTCCTTGATGATGCTGCGGGCCTTCCTCAGACACCGTTTAGAGTACATCTCCTGGATGGGTGGGAGCACGGTCCCAGAGATGTCCTGGATGGGTGAGAGCACGGTCCCAGTGATGTCCTGGATGGGTGAGAGCACGGTCCCAGTGATGTCCTGGATGGGTGGGAGCACGGTCCCAGTGATGTCCTGGACGGGTGGGAGCACGGTCCCAGTGATGTCCTGGATGGGTGGGAGCACGGTCCCAGTGATGTCCTGGATGGGTGGGAGCACGGTCCCAGTGATGTCCTGGATGGGTGGGAGCATGGTCCCAGGGATGTCCTGGATGGGTGGGAGCACGGTCCCAGTGATGTCCTGGATGGGTGGGAGCACGGTCCCAGTGATGTCCTGGATGGGTGGGAGCACGGTCCCAGTGATGTCCTGGATGGGTGAGAGCACGGTCCCAGTGATGTCCTGGATGGGTGGGAGCACGGTCCCAGTGATGTCCTGGATGGGTGGGAGCACGGTCCCAGTGATGTCCTGGATGGGTGGGAGCAGGGTCCCAGTGATGTCCTGGATGGGTGGGAGCACGGTCCCAGTGATCTCCTGGATGGGTGGGAGCAGGGTCCCAGTGATCTCCTGGATGGGTGAGAGCACGGTCCCAGTGATGTCCTGGATGGGTGAGAGCACGGTCCCAGTGATGTCCTGGATGGGTGAGAGCACGGTCCCAGTGATGTCCTGGATGGGTGAGAGCACGGTCCCAGTGATGTCCTGGATGGGTGAGAGCACGGTCCCAGGGATGTAAGCGGTAGTATTTGGAGAGGACCTGGAGCTGCATGCCAACTTTCTTCAGCCGCCTTAGGAAGTAGAGACTCTGTTGCTCCCTCTTGACCAGAGTGGTGGTGTTGGCCCGTGACAAGTCCTTGGTGATATGGACGCCGGGGCATGTTCCCTCTGCTTCCTGGTTGGTGTCCTGACACCACAGAGCTTACAGGGAGGAGGTAAGAGAACTGGCAGACTCGTTGTTGGTTATCAGACATATAACCGTGGTGTCGTCAGGAAACTTAATGATTGTGTTGATGTGCAGTCGAACAGGGAGTACAGCGGTATGCTCTTTCTCTCATGTTAAATATATATATATATTTAACAGGTAGGGCCCTACAAAATCTTTTCTTCTTTCCCAAATTCCATTTAGTTTTTTCAGGTTTTCGCTCTCAAAATCACACTTTTGGAAAACACTCTCTCTGTTTCTACTCTCTCTCCTTCTCCCTACTCTCTCTCTCCTTCTCCCTACTCTCTCTCTCCTTCTCCCTACTCTCTCTCTCTCTCTCTCTCTCTCTCTGTCATTCATCTGTCCCATCTGTCCCTGACAGGGGTTTGGATATTAAAGCAACAGGACAAATGAGTTGACCTGGTAACCTACACTATATATACAGAACTATGTGGACACCCCAAATGGGTGGATTCGGCTATTTCAGACACACCTGTTGCTGACAGGTGAAGAACATCGAGCACACAGCCATGCAATCTCCATAGACAAACATTGGCAGTAGAATGGCCTTACTGAAGAGCTCAGTGACTTTCAACGCGGCACCGTCATAGGATGCCACTTTTCCAACAAGTCAGTTCGTCAAATTTCTGCCCTGCTAGAGCTGCCCTGGTCAACTGTAAGTGCTGTCATTGTGAAGTAGTAGACCACACAAGCTCACAGAACGGGACCGCCAAGTGCTGAAGCGCATAAAAATTGTCTGTCTTCGGTTGCAACACTCACTACTGAGTTCCAAACTGCCTCTGGAAGCAACGTCAGCACACAAACTGTTCGTTGGGAGCTTCATGAAATGGGTTTCCATGGCAGAGCAGCCGCACACAAGCCTAAGATCACCATGCGCAATGCCAAGCGTTGGCTGGAGTGACGTAAAGCTTGCCGCCATTGGACTCTGGAAACATATTCTTTGGAGTGATGAATCAAGCTTCACCATCTGGCAGTCCGACGGATGAATCTGGGTTTGGCAGATGCCAGGAGAACGCTTCCCGCCCCAATGCATAGTGCCAACTGTATAGTTTGGTGAAGGAGGAATAATGGTCTGGGGGTGTTTTTCATGGTTCGGGCTAGGCCCCTTAGTTACAGTGAAGGGACATCTTAACGCTACAGCATACAATGACATTCTAGACGATTCTGTGCTTCCGACTTTGTGGCAACAATTTAATGAAGGCCCTTTCCTGTTTCAGCATGACAATGCCCCTGTGCACAAAGCGAGGTCCATACAGAAATGGTTTGTTGAGATCGGTGTGGAAGAACTTGACTGGCCTGCACAAAGCCCTAACTTCAACCCCATAAAACACCTTTGGGATGAATTGGAACGCCGACTGCGAGCCAGGCCTAATCGCCCAACATCAGTGTCCGACCTCCCTAATGCTCTTGTGGCTGAATGGAAGCAAGTCCCCGCAGCAATGTTCCAACATCTAGTGGAAAGCCTCCCCATTAATGGCCATGATTTTGGAATGAGATGTTTGATGAGCAGGTGTCCACATACTTAATGACTTTTTGTCCTTAAGCCATTTTGCCACAACTTTGGAAGCATGCTTGGGGTCATTGTCCATTTGGAAGACCCATTTGCGACCAAGCTTTAACTTCCTGACTGATGTCTTGAGATGTTGCTTCAATATATCCACATAATTTTCCTTTCTCATGATGCCATCTATTTTGTGAAGTGCACCAGTCCCTCCTGCAGCAAAGCACCCCCACAGCATGATGCTGCCACCCCCGTGCTTCACGGTTGGGATGGTGTTCTTCGGCTTGCAAGCAACCCCCTTTTTCCTCCAAACATAATGATGGTCATTATGGCCAAACAGTTCTATTTTTGTTTAATCAGACCAGAGGACATTTCTCCAAAAAGTACGATCTTTGTCCCCATGTGCAGTTGCAAACCATAGTCTGGCCTTTTTTATGGCGGTTTTGGAGCAGTGGCTTCTTCCTTGCTGAGTGGCCTTTCAGGTTATGTCGATATAAGACTCGTTTGACTGTGGATATAGATACTTTTGTACCTGTTTCCTCCAGCATCTTCACAAGGTCCTTTGCTGTTGTTCTGGGATTGATTTGCACTTTTCGCACCAAAGTACGTTCATCTCTAGGAGACCGAACGTGTCTCCTTCCTGAGCGGTATGACGGCTGCGTGGTCCCATGGTGTTTATACTTGCGTACTATTGTTTGTACAGATGACGTGGTACCTTCAGGCGTTTGGAAATTGCTCCCAAGAATGAACCAGACTTGTGGTGGTCTACAATTTTTTCCTGAGGTCTTGGCTGATTTCTTTAGATTTTCCCATGATATCAAGCAAAGAGGCACTGAGTTTGAAGGTAGGCCTTGAAATACATCCACAGGTACACCTCCAATTGACTCAAATGATGTCAATTAGCCTATCACAAGCTTCTAAAGCCATGACATCATTTTCTGGAATTTCCAAGCTGTTTAAAGGCACAGTCAACTTAGTGTATGTGAACTTCTGACCACTGGAATTGTGATACAGTGAATTATAAGTGAAATAATCTGTCTGTAAACAATTGTTGGAAGAATGGCTTGTCATGCACAAAGTAGATGTCCTAACCGACAAACTATAGTTTGTTAACAAGACATTTGTGGAGTGGTAGAAAAACAAGTTTTAATGACTCCAACCTAAGAGGATGTAAACTTCCGACTTCAACTGTATGTGTTTATCTGCAACATGTTCCATAAAGCCTCCGTTGGGATGTCTCCTCTCTCTGAGGAATGTGGGTGTGTCAGGGGGGGTGTTTTCCATTCCCCCCAGTTCTATTGCACTTGGCCTGGCAGTCTGTGTGTGAGGAGAGGCAGTGATGATGAACGGTGTATATTTGAAACAAGATCGGACAGGCTGATATGTCAGAAAATGTCATTTCCAATTGTGTTTAAGACTCCTCTCCTCACAAATGTACTTCGACACCTAAGAGGCACAGATCCACCTTGTGTGTGTGTGTAAAGTCTGTTAGATTAGACTTCTTAGCTTCATTTAGAAGCGTGAGTGAGGATGTTAAGGTTATTGCAATCCCCACTCCTTTGATCTACGTGCACGGGGCGGAGTGGGATCTCTGGAGCAGCGGACACGTTTTGCTGTCATGATATCATCGCCGGTCCAACTCCCATTTACAAGGGGGTGATAGCAAAGTGTGTATATATACAGTACCAGTCAAAGTTTGGACACCTACTAATTTTTTCTTTATTTTTACTATTTTCTACATTGTAGAATAGTAGTGAAGACATCAAAACTATGAAATAACACATATGGAATCATGTAGTAACCAAAACAGTGTTAAACAAATCAAAATATATTTGAGATTCTTCAAAGTAGCCACCCTTTGCCTTGACAGCTCTGCACACTCTTGGCATTCTCAAAATAGTTTACTCATCAGATTGCTCTGCTTTCCCCTCTTGTATAAATTGTTCAGGAATCCCATTCATAATTAAATAAAATGCCCTGGCAAATATTATTCTACTTGCCAGTTTAACCTACAACATTATCCTGATTTTGATATGCTGCTTCAATGTATTCCCATATCAGTTCAAAATAAATAGTCATGGAGGGGGAAAAAAGCACCTGGCTGACTAAAACGGATGATTTTGTTTTTAGCTAAACTATTTCGAACTGGAATAAATGCTGCACTTATTAACAATGACACACAATTCCAGTCAAAATATAAGATTGTAAGATATACTGTATCCTACAATGACTATATCAACCCAACTCCATTTGTTGTCACTCATGTATCCCAAAGGTTTCCAAACTTGTTGACCCGGGACCCCCAAACAGGAGTGTGCACAATCGCTGAGCAAATGTAGCCTGTCTGCTCATTAGTTGTTGGAAATAACATTTAACATTTTCCATGACAACGTGAAGCCTCAAATAGAATTTATAACAAAGTCAAAAGCAAACATTTAGCTGTTAGCTAGGCAAGTTGTGGTTGGAATTGCAGGATGAATTTAGACGTGCGTTTAGCAACTTTTAACAGACTGGTTTCATCTGGACAAAAATGCTTAGCAACCAGATACCAACGTGTTCTGTGGAGAGAAGTGGTAGTTTAAATATTTGCATAATCGTTGTGATTTGGAGGATAGCTGTGAGGGTGATCGAATCAGGATCAAATCCTCTGTTTTCCTCACTCATTTAATGACGATAGAATGTTTTATATTTGAAGATTTGCAGTCTCTGGCACATGACATGGAGTAGCTAGGTATATATATACATCACTAGGTAGCTAAAGAGACTAGTACCCAGGCTAAGGGATATAGTGCTGTCACTGATCTAATGGAATTCTCTGCACGGCCATCCCTGTGATTGCTGGAAGCATGTTTGTCTGCAGGCATCATTTGGAAGTGTGGAAGCATGTTCTGTGCACCGGGCCATCACTTGGATGGTGGAAGCAGTTCTGTCTGACCATCACTGTAGCTGAGACTGTACCAGGATCAATGTGGATTGGTGGAAGCATGTTCTTCTGCACCGGGCATCACTGGATTGGCTGGGAAGCATGTTCTGTCTGCACCGGGCCATCACTGTGGATTGGCTGGGAAGCATGTTCTGTCTGCACCGGGCCATCATGTGGATTGGCTGGAAGCATGTTCGTGTCTGCACCGGCCATCACTGTGGATTGGCTGGGAAGCATGTTCTGTCTGCACCGGGCCATCACTGTGGATTGGCTGGGAAGCATGTTCTGTCTGCACCGGGCCATCACTGTGGATTGGCTGGGAAGCATGTTCTGTCTGCACCGGGCCATCACTGTGGATTGGCTGGGAAGCATGTTCTGTCTGCACCGGGCCATCACTGTGGATTGGCTGGGAAGCATGTTCTGTCTGCACCGGGCCATCACTTTGGATTGGCTGGGAAGCATGTTCTGTCTGCACCGGGCCATCACTGTGGATTGGCTGGGAAGCATGTTCTGTCTGCACCGGGCCATCACTGTGGATTGGCTGGGAAGCATGTCCTGTCTGCACCGGGCCATCACTGTGGAGGGCAGCCTGCCTGCAGAGTGCTCGTTGCAAGATGGGTAGCCCTGTTCTTCCTCACAAATATCGTAATAAATTAGCGAGAATATGTTACATCTCCATCCCATAATATCGAAGTTATACAGCCATCCAAACTAGGCCTATATGAAAAATGATGAATCACATTTCCAGGTAGCCTATTGTTCTGGCTAAGATGAGTCCGTAGTAGATTACCAAACTGTATTGATGATAAAAATAGTCTTAGCCAGGCAAAACTGGAGGAAATGAAATGGGTTCTTTCTGGTCACTAATCTGGATATGTGTCTTTGCTGATGACTGGTAAACGATCAAGACGCACAACTTTTTGGTTCTGAAGCATAGATGAGAATTTGGTTTATCAATCCACTCCTATCATACAAAGGTTTTACTGTGCGTGAAGTTTCAAATGCATTCTGTCATTACTAAATTTGTAATGTGATAGGTATTTTAACATGACTATTTTTATAACAGAACATTTGATTTAATAAAATATTGAATCTGTCTTCCTTAAATGAAGGGGATGATGACGCAATCTTTGCGAGATGGAGGTTATCTGATTTCATTGGTCCTCAACCCGCAGCTAAGACACTTCACTCAGGATAAATGGAGTGAGCCCAGAGTTAGCCTGCCCCGGAGCAGGTTAGTTCTGAAGGATTCGTTGCCATAGAAATGTACCTGGCTAAAAGGTGAGCCACATTCGTCTGACCAGTTTTACCGAGTTGAACTCAGTTGACCAAAGGTCCAAACCTGATTGATAGTACAGGGCTCTGGTAGTTAATTCTACTCACCTGGTGTCCCAGGTCTGCATCAGTCTCTGATTAGAAGAAAAGTGTTTGGGCCCTCCAGGACCAGGATGGAACATCCCTGTGTCTCTACTGAAGCTGTGTGGTGGGTGGAGACAGTTAGTCCTTGTGGTGCTCATGGGTAATCTGCCAGCAGGCCCATTGTTACTGCGCAGCATGATGCATTGTTGTGAAACATGTCCTTTTCATTACATGAATGTTCTCTTTGTCTTCCATTGGTTGTATGTGAGATGCACACCGCTCTAACCCACGTTAGGCCAGTAGCCAACATGACTTTGTTTTGTGCCGAGGTCCTAAGAGAACGACGACAATACAATCAGTGCTGCTAGTTCTGGTAGCACCCTGCTAGCTCTGGGACCCAAAACCAACGCTCTAACTTCATTTTACATTTTAGTCATTTAGCAGACGCTCTTATCCAGAGCGACTTACAGTGAGTGAGTGCATACATTTTTCATACTAGCCCCCCCGTGGGAATCGAACCCACAATCCTGGCGTTGCAAGTGCCATGCTCTACCAACTGAGCTACAGGAGGCCTTCATGACCAGTGATAGGATCTTATTGGTTGAAGCAATGTAGCACAGACCTATCCCGTCCTCTCTTCCTCTCTCTCTCTCAGCCAATCAGAGCCAGGCTCTTTGTGAGCTGTAAAACGTCCTCTTTCTTCCCACTTTCCTCTCCTCCATCGTCCGTCTGTAATGTGAGCCCTGAGAGGAATGGGTGAAGAGGAGAGGAGAGGAATGGGTGGAGAGGGAGGAATGGGTGGAGAGGAGAGGAGAGGAATGGGTGGAGAGGGGAGAGAATGGGTGGAGAGGAGAGGAGCGGAGAGGAGAGGAATGGGTGGAGCGGAGTGGGTGGAGAGGAGAGGAGAGGAGGAGAGGAATGGGTGGAGAGGAGAGGAGAGGAATGGGTGGAGAGGAGAGAGAGGAATGGGTGGAGAGGAGAGGAATGGGTGGAGAGGAGAGGAATGGGTGGAGAGGAGAGGAATGGGTGGAGAGGAGAGGAGAGGAATGGGAGAGGAGAGGAGAGGATGGGGGAGAGGAGAGGAAGGGTGGAGGGAGAGATGGGTGGAGAGGAGGAGGATGGGTGGGGGAGGAGAGAGGGATGGATGGGGTGGAGAGGAGGAGAGGCTGTGGAGAGGAGAGGGAGGAGAGGAATGGGAGGGTGGAGAGGAGGAGGATGGGAGGGTGGCGATGGGAGGGTGGATAGGAGAGGATTGAGAGGGAGGAGGATGGTGGGGTGGGGAGGAGAGGGAGGGGAGGAGAGGATGGGTGGGGAGGAGAGGAGAGGGAGGGGAGGAATGTGGGGGGGGTGGGGTGGTGGAGAGGAATGGGTGGGGAGGGAGGAATTGGGGGTGGAGAGGGAGGAATGGTGGAGAGGAATGGGTGGAGAGGGAGGAATTGGTGGGTGGGTGGAGAGGAATGGGTGGAGAGGAGAGGGAGGGGAGGAATTGGTGGGGTGGAGAGGAGAGGGAGGGGAGGAATGGGTGGGGTGGAGAGGATGAGGGATGGGTGGGGAGGAAATGGGGGGGGGATGGGGAGAGGAATGGAGGGAGGAATGGGTGGGGAGGAGAGGAATGGGTGGGGAGGAGGAGGAATGGGGGGAGGGAGAGGAAGGGGTGGGGTGGAATGGGTGGAGAGGAGGGAGGGGAGGAATGGGTGGGGTGGAATGGGTGGAGAGGGAGAGGGTGGGGTGGGGTGGGGTGGGGTGGAGAGGAATGGGAGGGGAGGAATGGGTGGGCGGCTAGCAGTCAGTTTGAGTCTTTCCTTTTAAGGCAAAAAATCAAGAAGGGACTTTTCCAAGGGAGGGAGGGAGAGTTTTTAGTGGAAGAAGCAGAAAGTAGCTAGCTGTTGGAACTGTGTGTGCAGACAAACTCCCCCATGGTAGAGTATAGAAGGAGTTAAAAGAGAAGTGAAGCCGACTGTTACCCCAGAGTTAGTCAGGTTTGGGTTCTGACTCATCTACACAGGAGGCGCTCACACACTGGGAAAAGGAATAGTTAACGAACAAATGCTGTTTCTAAGGGGTTTGGGGTTAAGGTTAGAATTAGTATTAGGGTTAGAATTAAGAGTTACGTTTTCGCGTTAGGGGTTAGGGAAAATATGATTTTTAATTGGACTAGATTGTGTCCCCAGAAGGTTAGTTTTACAAGTGTGTGTGTGTGTGTGTGTCAGTGATAAGGCCAGTGTGGAATGTGTGTCATTTCCTCTGAGTGTTCTGTCTGGGAGCAGTGGTCACTGTGACCCCACCCACCCCTTTCCTCCTACATTTACATTTACATCATTTAGCAGACGCTCTTATCCAGAGCCACTTACTTCCCAGTCATGACTTGGCTGTGTGTTATCACAGTTTTAGAACATTATCAAAAACACCAAAACCACACTGTTCGAAGCCACTAGGAAGAACGGAGGCCAAACAATGGAGCAAAGTGCATCCCATTACATTTTCACAAGGAAATTATTTCTATAGATGTCCAACAACCGGGATCATTTGACTAACTAGCTAACAGACAGTGAATGGGGAGGCTAACCAAAGATGATGGATATACTGACAAGATACATGTTTCTCCGCCCTAACAATGGGAGTCGTTGTCCACAAAGCTCACGCCTATCCTTTCTTTGGATTGATGGATACATCTCATTATTGTAATCCTTTTTTGAATATTCGACGAGGGCTGTTGACGTCAACCGCCTGTATTAAATGGAGGGAGATGCTATGCTACTAGCCTCATGTTATGAATAGCCATCTCGTGACAACTCCGATATAGTGTTTTTTCTCAAAGTTGCTGGGATGTCACGTGTCCTACTTACAGTATATCAGTACACTCGTAACAACTTAAGCATGCAATATTAATGGGGAGGCTAACTAGCTAACAGTCAGTGTCTGGGGAGGCTAACTAGCTAACAGTCAGTGTCTGGGGAGGCTAACTAGCTAACAGACTGACTGGGGAGGCTAACTAGCTAACAGTCAGTGACTGGGGAGGCTAACTAGCTAACAGTCAGTGACTGGGGAGGCTAACTAGCTAACAGTCAGTGACTGGGGAGGCTAACTAGCTAACAGTCAGCGACTGGGGAGGCTAACTAGCTAACAGTCAGCGACTGGGGAGGCTAACTAGCTAACAGACACAGTGGTGTGTAATCATATATGACAAGGGAAGCCAGGATTCCCCAAAAAATTGACCAAGAAAAAAACATACATCTTCTCTGTGTTTTCATAATTTTCCTTCATTTCAGAAGAGGCTGAATCTATCTCACTGGAGAAAAGCATCCGAGCGAGCGAACCAGCGCCCCTCTGCGTAGCCCGTCTATCTGATGCGGTCTGGTCAAAATAATGATATTGTTGCTGCCCATAGCATTGAATGCAAGGGAAGCCAGCAAGAATTTGGCCTCTTTATTGTGTACTTTATTTTTTTATTTTTTATTTCCAACCTGCGTTGAACCGAGTGAGCTCAAATGTGAATGGTCCTGGCGCACCCCAAAAAATTTTTTTGTAAAGGGAAGCCAGTTGAGATTTGTCTTCACACCTATCACATCAAAAGCCAAACATCACAGAAAAAAAAACTTGAATTGTTGCATCACGTTGTTTTGTCCTCTGGTGGCTGGCTAGCTAGCTAAAATGTACCCTTTCCAAAATTAGCCATGGATGGATATGGGCTTTACTTCATTCTCCTTCCTGGCCAATGATTATAACGGCGATTCTGATCCAACCATAAATTCATTCATACATTGTGCCTCTGGCCTGAGAGGATGGAAGTTGAATATGTAGTATGCTAATGTTAACTAGCTGGCTAATCGTTGCCCATTTTAAAGGAAGTTAGGTTAGCGAGCTAGCATTTAGCCATGTAGCCTAGGAGGACAAAAACTAAAAGTGTGTACTGTGTGACAGTCATAGACCGTTTCATCAACATGAAAGAGAGGAGGATGGCATTGGTGTTTCTCTACAAGGTGAATCAACATCTTTTTTTTTTTTTTTTTCCTTGCAAGGATGCACGCACACAAATCGGTACCATAGACAGCCACATTATATTTAGCTTACTTTGATTGGACTAAATTGGTCTTGGATTCTTTAAATCTCCGGTGTTCTAAATCAAGAGTTTAGTAGTCCTAAAATGTCGGAAACATTAACTTGATTGACCGTGCTGTAGGTCATGTAACTGTTTGTTAGATGCAATATGCTTTATGGACTCCACCGGACAGATGTTGCTCTCTGGTTTTGTGATGAAACAAAGGTGTGGTTGAATTTATTCTGCCACTGTGTCTTCTTATTGTCCCGGCCTTAGGCCTATATATCACGGTGTCAAGGCATATGAACCAACAGGTTATAGAGCAAACAACGCAATTATCACAACACAGGTTGTAATATGGCTTTTCTTCTTCCTGGTTTTGCTTCCCCAGTGATTTTACCCACGCACCGCTACTGAACAGACCGTCAATAGTGAGGTCAACTAGCTAACGGACACTGACTGGGGAGGCTAACTAACGGACACTGACTGGGGAGGCTAGCTAACGGACAGTGACTGGGGAGGCTAGCTAACGGACAGTGACTGGGGAGGCTAACTAACGGACAGTGACTGGGGAGGCTAGCTAACGGACAGTGACTGGGGAGGCTAACTAACGGACAGTGACTGGGGAGGCTAACTAACGGACAGTGACTGGGGAGGCTAACTAACGGACAGTGACTGGGGAGGCTAGCTAACGGACAGTGACTGGGGAGGCTAAACTAACGGACAGTGACTGGGAGGCTAACTAACGGACAGTGACTGGGGAGGCTAACTAACGGACACTGACTGGGGAGGCTAACTAACGGACAGTGACTGGGGAGGCTAACTAACGGACAGTGACTGGGGAGGCTAACTAACGGACAGTGACTGGGGAGGCTAACTAACGGACAGTGACTGGGGAGGCTAACTAACGGACAGTGACTGGGGAGGCTAACTAACGGACAGTGACTGGGGAGGCTAACTAACGGACAGTGACTGGGGAGGCTAGCTAACGGACAGTGACTGGGGAGGCTAGCTAACGGACAGTGACTGGGGAGGCTAGCTAACGGACAGTGACTGGGGAGGCTAGCTAACGGACAGTGACTGGGGAGGCTAGCTAACGGACAGTGACTGGGGAGGCTAACTAACGGACAGTGACTGGGGAGGCTAACTAACGGACACTGACTGGGGAGGCTAACTAACGGACACTGACTGGGGAGGCTAACTAACGGACAGTGACTGGGGAGGCTAACTAACGGACACTGACTGGGGAGGCTAACTAACGGACAGTGAATAATCTGATCACTATTTACAATTTCTCATAGACCTCCAGCAGAAAAAACCTCTATGTACTTGTTGCTTATTAGTACATGTCACACTACTTTGGGATTGTAAGGCTCGTATGAATGTCCTGCTTAATCTAATGTTGGTGTCATCGTCGCAAATCAACTGCATTGTACTTTAAAAAAACACTTCAACTTCAACCAGTAAAATGGCTCTTTGGCTAGCTTTGCTTCCAGTTCATGTCAATGAGCGTTAGCATTCTAGCTAACAATTGCTGAATTCAAAATTGTTATTTAGCTATTTTAACAACCAAGCGACTGGTCACGCAATATTCAAAACATTGTAAGCCTGTGAGAACCCAAAAAGGGATTCCAGGAGTATTCCACTGATGTTTGGTGGCTCAGACACAACCAAAGGAGGATTCTTGTCTCCTGGATTGTGTTGCTTCAGCATTCCTCCAGCAAGCGCCGGCCTGTGAGGAGTGTCAACACACCTCTATCAAATTAGAGCTCGGCTGCACCTTCTCCCTGTCCTGGGGGAATGTTTTATCACACACACCCCACCCTTTAGGGCAGGACCCGATGAGCAGTTACGCCTAATCATCCCAATCCTGTGTGTGTGCGTGAAGGCATGTGTGGGCTGGTCTGTGGTTGCATCGCTCTCTTCTGCCCTCATCTCTGATCTCCCCGTCACCAATCCAACCCCACCCGCTCTACAGTTCTACTCCAATCCTAATCCAACCCCACCCTCTCTACAGCTCTACTCCAATCCTAATCCAACCACACCCTCTCTACAGTTCTACTCCAATCCTAATCTAACCCCACCCTCTCTACAGCTCTACTCCAATCCTAATCCAACCCCACCCTCTTACAGCTCTACTCCAATCCTAATCTAACCCCACCCTCTCTACAGCTCTACTCCAATCCTAATCCAACCCCCACCCTCTCTACAGCTCTACTCCAATCCTAATCCAACCCCACCCTCTCTACAGCTCTACTCCAATCCTAATCCAACCCCACCCTCTCTACAGCTCTACTCCAATCCTAATCCAACCCCACCCTCTCTACAGCTCTACTCCAATCCTAATCCAACCCCACCCGCTCTACAGTTCTACTCCAATCCTAATCCAAACCCCACCCTCTCTACAGCTCTACTCCAATCCTAATCCAACCCCACCCTCTCTACAGCTCTACTCCAATCCTAATCCAACCCCACCCTCTCTACAGCTCTACTCCAATCCTAATCCAACCCCACCCTCTCTACAGTCTACTCCAATCCTAATCCAACCCCACCCTCTCTACAGCTCTACTCCAATCCTAATCCAACCCACCCGCTCTACAGCTCTACTCCAATCATAATCCAACCCCACCCTCTCTACAGCTCTACTCCAATCCTATCCAACCCCACCCTCTCTACAGCTCTACTCCAATCCTAATCCAACCCCACCCTCTCTACAGCTCTACTCCAATCCTAATCCAACCCCACCCGCTCTACAGCTCTACTCCAATCCTAATCCAACCCCACCCTCTCTACAGTTCTACTCCAATCCTAATCCAACCCCACCCGCTCTACAGCTCTACTCCAATCCTAATCCAACCCCATCCTTCTACAGCTCTACTCCAAATCCTAATCCAACCCCATCCTCTCTACAGCTCTACTCCAATCCTAATCCAACCCCACCCTCTCTACAGCTCTACTCCAATCCTAATCCAACCCCACCCTCTCTACAGCTCTTACTCCAATCCTAATCCAACCCCACCCTCTCTACAGCTCTACTCCAATCCTAATCCAACCCACCCTCTTACAGCTCTACTCCAATCCTAATCCAACCCCCACCGCTCTACAGCTCTACTCCAATCCTAATCCAACCCCACCCTCTCTACAGCTCTACTCCAATCCTAATCCAACCCCACCCTCTCTACAGCTCTACTCCAATCCTAATCCAACCCCACCCTCTCTACAGCTCTACTCCAATCCTAATCCAACCCACCCGCTCTACAGCTCTACTCCAATCCTAATCCAACCCCACCCTCTTACAGTTCTACTCCAATCCTAATCCAACCCCACCCGCTCTACTCCAACCTAATCCAACCCCATCCTCTCTACAGCTCTACTCCAATCCTAATCCAACCCCACCCTCTCTACAGCTCTACTCCAATCCTAATCCAACCCCACCCTCTCTACAGCTCTACTCCAATCCTAATCCAACCCCACCCTCTCTACAGCTCTACTCCAATCCTAATCCAACCCCACCCTCTCTACAGCTCTACTCCAATCCTAATCCAACCCCACCCTCTCTACAGCTCTACTCCAATCCTAATCCAACCCCACCCGCTCTACAGCTCTACTCCAATCCTAATCCAACCCCACCCTCTCTACAGCTCTACTCCAATCCTAATCCAACCCCACCCTCTCTACAGCTCTACTCCAATCCTAATCCAACCCCACCCTCTCTACAGCTCTACTCCAATCCTAATCCAACCCCACCCGCTCTACAGCTCTACTCCAATCCTAATCCAACCCCACCCTCTCTACAGTTCTACTCCAATCCTAATCCAACCCCATCCTCTCTACAGCTCTACTCCAATCCTAATCCAACCCCACCCTCTCTACAGCTCTACTCCAATCCTAATCCAACCCCACCCTCTCTACAGCTCTACTCCAATCCTAATCCAACCCCATCCTCTCTACAGCTTACTCCAATCCTAATCCAACCCCACCCTCTCTACAGCTCTACTCCAATCCTAATCCAACCCCACCCGCTCTACAGCTCTACTCCAATCCTAATCCAACCCCACCCGCTCTACAGCTCTACTCCAATCCTAATCCAACCCCACCCGCTCTACAGCTCTACTCCAATCCTAATCCAACCCCACCCTCTCTACAGCTCTACTCCAATCCTAATCCAACCCCACCCTCTCTACAGCGCAATTCCAATTTTACTACTCCAACCTCAATCCCCTCTGATCCTAGATCTGCATATATTTCTATATTACTGTCTCTCCTCCAGACTCCAAGGCCATAGTGGATGGTAACCTGAAGCTGATCCTAGATCTCCATATTTCTATATTGCGGTTTCTCCTCCAGACTCCAAGGCCATAGTGGATGGTAACCTGAAGCTGATCCTAGATCTCCATATTTCTATATTACTGTCTCTCCTCCAGACTCCAAGGCCATAGTGGATGGTAACCTGAAGCTGATCCTAGATCTCCATATTTCTATATTACTGTCTCTCCTCCAGACTCCAAGGCCATAGTGGATGGTAACCTGAAGCTGATCCTAGATCTCCATATTTCTATATTGCGGTTTCTCCTCCAGACTCCAAGGCCATAGTGGATGGTAACCTGAAGCTGATCCTAGATCTCCATATTTCTATATTGCGGTTTCTCCTCCAGACTCCAAGGCCATAGTGGATGGTAACCTGAAGCTGATCCTAGATCTCCATATTTCTATATTGCGGTTTCTCCTCCAGACTCCAAGGCCATAGTGGATGGTAACCTGAAGCTGATCCTAGATCTCCATATTTATATATTGCGGTTTCTCCTCCAGACTCCAAGGCCATAGTGGATGGTAACCTGAAGCTGATCCTAGGCATGGTGTGGACTCTGATCCTCCACTACTCCATCTCCATGCCCATGTGGGACGAGGAGGAGGAGGGGGGCGACGGCCAGCAGAAGACCCCGAAACAGAGGCTTCTGGGATGGATCCAGAACAAGCTACCAGAGATCCCCATCCACAACTTCAGCAGAGACTGGCAGAGTGGCAGAGCACTGGGGGCACTGGTCGACAGCTGTGCTCCGGGTAGGTTAGGGGCCGGGGTTAGGGTTAGGGGCCTGGGTCAGAGGTTAGGGGTCGGGGTCAGAGGTTAGGGGCCGGGGTTAGGGTTAGGGGCCTGGGTCAGGGGTTAGGGCCGGGGTCAGGGTTAGGGGCCGGGGGTCAGGGGTTAGGGTTAGGGGCCGGGGTCAGGGGTTAGGGTTAGGGGCCTGGGTCAGGGGTTAGGGGCCGGGGTCAGGGGTTAGGGGCCGGGGTCAGGGGTTAGGGTTAGGGGCCGGGGTCAGGGGTTAGGGTTAGGGGCCTGGGTCAGGGGTTAGGGGCCGGGGTCAGGGGTTAGGGTTAGGGGCCTGGGTCAGGGGTTAGGGGCCGGGGTCAGGGGTTAGGGTTAGGGGCCTGGGTCAGGGGTTAGGGTTAGGGGCCGGGTCAGGGGTTAGGGTTAGGGGCCTGGGTCAGGGGTTAGGGTTAGGGGCCTGGGTCAGGGGTTAGGGTTAGGGGCCTGGGTCAGGGGTTAGGGGCCGGGGTCAGAGACTGGTCGACAGCTGTGCTCCAGGTAGGTTAGGGGTCGGGGTCAGGGGGCTGGTTTCATAGACCCAGATAAGCATTGTCCTTTTTAGAAACAGTTTGTGTGTTGAAGTTTAAATAAGGTGTTTCAAGCCTGTGTTGTGTTCTAGGCCTGTGCCCTGACTGGGACCAGTGGGATCAGACTAAACCAGTGGACAACGCCCGGGAGGCCATGCAGCAGGCTGACGACTGGCTGGGGATCCCTCAGGTGCGCTAGCTACGCTAACATCACATTGTTCTCTATGGAATCATGCTAACCCATCGTCTCTAGGTGACACTGAGTACAGTCAGCTTCATGGCGTTAGCCTAATATTTGTGTGCAGTGCTGAGTTGGCATGTGGGCAGGTTTAACGTGTTGGCATGGCAGATCTGGGGAAGTTGGTACTCTGCTCTGTGCTGCCAGTTGTCTCTGTGGTTGGGGTTTCCTCCCTCAGTGGACCAGTTCTCAGAACAACACTATCTTCCTGTCTGGCTCTGTGGCTTGTGTGCGTGTGTGTAGATGTTTTGTGCAGCTTGAGGTTGTCTGAGGTAGTGGTTAGGATAGTTAAATCACGCTACCCTCTGCTGTGTGTGTGTGTGTGTGTGTGTGTCTAAACAGTGTGTGCCGTCTGGTTTCCTAGGTGATAACCCCAGAGGAGATTGTTGACCCCAATGTAGATGAACATTCCGTGATGACCTACCTGTCCCAGTTCCCCAAGTCCAAACTGAAGCCTGGCGCACCCCTCCGCCCCAAACTGAACCCCAAGAAGGCCCGTGCATACGGACCAGGTACACACACACACCCCTCCGCCCCAAACTGAACCCCAAGAAGGCCCGTCGCATACGGACCAGGTACACACACACACCCCTCCGCCCCAAACTGAACCCCAAGAAGGCCCTGCCATACGGACCAGGTAACACACCCCCCCCCCCCCCCAACCGCCATACGGACCAGTACAACACCACACCCCTCCGCCCCAAACTGAACCCCAAGAAGGCCCGCGCATACGGACCAGGTACACACACACACCCCTCCGCCCCAAACTGAACCCCAAGAAGGCCCGCGCATACGGACCAGGTACACACACCCCTCCGCCCCAAACTGAACCCCAAGAAGGCCCGCGCATACGGACCAGGTACACACACACACCCCTCCGCCCCAAACTGAACCCCAAGAAGGCCCGCGCATACGGACCAGGTACCACAACACACCCCTCCGCCCCAAACTGAACCCCAAGAAGGCCCGCGCATACGGACCAGGTACACACACACACACCCTCCGCCCCAAACTGAACCCCAAGAAGGCCCGCGCATACGGACCAGGTACACACACACACACCCTCCGCCCCAAACTGAACCCCAAGAAGGCCCGCGCATACGGACCAGGTACACACACACACACCCCTCCGCCCCAAACTGAACCCCAAGAAGGCCCGCGCATACGGACCAGGTACCACACACACACCCCTCCGCCCCAAACTGAACCCCAAGAAGGCCCGCGCATACGGACCAGGTACACACACACCCCCTCCGCCCCAAACTGAACCCCAAGAAGGCCGCGCATACGGACCAGGTACACACACACACCCCCCGCCAACTAACCAAAAGCCCATACGACCAGGTACACACACACACACCCTCCCCCCAAACTGAACCCCAAGAAGGCCCGTGCATACGGACCAGGTACACACACACACCCCTCCGCCCCAAACTGAACCCCAAGAAGGCCCGCGCATACGGACCAGGTACACACACACACACCCCTCCGCCCCAAACTGAACCCCAAGAAGGCCCGCGCATACGGACCAGGTACACACACACACCCCTCCGCCCCAAACTGAACCCCAAGAAGGCCGCGCATACGGACCAGGTACACACACACACACCCCTCCGCCCAAACTGAACCCCAAGAAGGCCCGTGCATACGGACCAGGTACACACACACACACCCCTCCGCCCCAAACTGAACCCCAAGAAGGCCCCGGCATACGGACCAGGTACACACACACACACCCCTCCGCCCCAAACTGAACCCCAAGAAGGCCCGTGCATACGGACCAGGTACACACACACACACCCCTCCGCCCCAAACTGAACCCCAAGAAGGCCCGCCATACGGACCAGGTACACACACCACCCCCCCCGCCCCAAACTGAACCCAAGACAGGTCACCCCGCCCCCGCATACGGACCAGGTACACACACCACACCCCCCGCCCCAAACTAACCCCAAGAAGCCGTCATACGGACCAGGTACACACACAACACCCCCGCCCCAACTGAACCCCAAAAGGCCCGTGCATACGGACCAGTCCTACACACACACACCCCTCCTCCCCACCTAACCCCATGATTCCCGCTGTCATACGACCAGTACACCAACCCCTCGCCCCTACTCCCCAAAAGCCCTGCTTCCTCACCCCGCTCCCTCCCCCAAGTTCCCCCTGTCCTCTCTCCACCATAAAGTCTCCCCCCCCGTCCCTCTCCTCACCTAAATGTTCACGTCCCCCCTCCACCAAATGTTCCTGTCCTCCCCACCCTACTCATACGCCGTCACTCTCACACACCTAAATTCCCCCCGACTCTCTCTCACCTAAATGTTTTCCCCTGTCTCTCTCTCACCTAAATGTTTTCCCCTGTCTCTCTCTCACCTAAATGTTTTCCCCTGTCTCTCTCTCACCTAAATGTTTTCCCCTGTCTCTCTCTCTCACCTAAATGTTTTCCTGTCTCTCTCTCCACCTCACCTAAATGTTTTCCTGTCTCTCTCTCACCTAAATGTTTTCCCCTGTCTCTCTCTCACCTAAATGTTTTCCCCTGTCTCTCTCTCACCTAAATGTTTTCCCCTGTCTCTCTCTCTCTCACCTAAATGTTTTCCCCTGTCTCTCTCTCTCTCACCTAAATGTTTTCCCCTGTCTCTCTCTCTCACCTAAATGTTTTCCCCTGTCTCTCTCTCTCACCTAAATGTTTTCCCTGTCTCTCTCTCTCACCTAAATGTTTTCCCCTGTCTCTCTCTCTCACCTAAATGTTTTCCTCTGTCTCTCTCTCACCTAAATGTTTTCCCCTGTCTCTCTCTCTCACCTAAATGTTTTCCTCTGTCTCTCTCTCTCACCTAAATGTTTTCCTCTGTCTCTCCTCTTGCTCTCGTTCTCTCTAGGTATAGAGCCAGTAGGTAACGTTGTGATGAAGAAGGCGGTGTTTACAGTGGAGACCATCAGTGCTGGGATGGGAGAGGTCCTGGTGTATGTAGAGGACCCTGCTGGACACAGAGAGGAGGTACACATACATGCACAGACCACATACACCACATAACAGAATTGTGGACTCGTCACAAATTTGACTTGACTCGACTTTCTAGAAAATATGGAGCCTCAAGACTCAGGACTTGACTGTCTTGAGACTGATGTCTTCAAATTATCTGGCCAGGTTTTGTAACGTTTTGTCCCTCATTTTGTGGCTCAGTCTCTACACAGCCAGAGACAGTAGGAGCAATCTCTTGTATAGATTTAGTTTTTACTTGAAAAAACGTATGACTTGTTCTTTGAATGCACAACTTTGACTCGACCCGTTCTACTTGGTGACTTGGTCCCACCTCTGCCACACACACACAAACAAACCACATACAGATAATGTCTTCCCCTGATGTCTCTGTGTGACATTCTTGCTCACGCTCTCTCTCTCTGTGACATCTCACGCTCTCTCTCTCTGTGACATCTCACGCTCTCTCTCTCTGTGACATCTCACGCTCTCTCTCTCTGTGACATCTCACGCTCTATCTCTCTGTGACATCTCACGCTCTGTCTGTCTGTCTGTCTGATCCAAGATGGCGTAGCAGTGTGGTCGTGTAAATAGCCTGTTCTTAGTTGTTTTGTCTTGTTGTATATATTATGTATATATTTCCCTATCAGACACTTTTCATCCTTCTACTAAATATACTTTCCTGCAACCCGCCTCACTCAATGTGGAACGGATTCTATTATTGACTTACCTTTTATCTAGAATCTCCAGTTGAAACTAGCTAGCCAGCTAACTAGCTACTTGCTATTAGCCACCATTAGCGGTTTTCACCCAGAACATCGGATTTTCTGCCGGAATAACTGAATCACTGGACCTTAACACCGGATCGCAACTAGCTAGCCGCAACATAATGGATGTTGCTGTTGGCTAATCACCACTGGCCCCGAAGCAAGCACCAGTTAGCCTTGAGCTAGCCTCGAGCCTAGAAGACCAGTTCTTAAAGCCTTTAGCGGTATCCTTATTCTAGTCCTCCTCTGTTCCTCTGGTGATGTAGAGGCTAACCCAGGCCCTGCAGCCCCCAGTATCACTCCTACTCCCCAGGAGCTATCATTTGTTGACTTCTGTAACCGTAAAAGCCTTGGTTTTTTGCATGTTAACATCAGAAGCCTCCTCCCTAAGTTTGAGTTATTCACTGCGTTAGCACACTCCGCCAACCCTGATGTTCTAGCAGTGTCTGAATCCTGGCTTAGGAAGGCCACCAAAAATTCTGAAATTTCCATCCCCAACTATAACATTTTCCGTCTAGATAGAACTGCCAAAGGGGGTGGAGTTGCAATCTACTGTAGGAGTCTGTGCCCAGGTCTGTGCCCAAACAGTTTGAGCTTCTACTTCTTAAAATCCACCTTTCCAGAAATAAGTCTCTCACTGTTGCCGCTTGCTACAGACCCCCCTCAGCCCCCAGCTGTGCCCTGGACACCATATGTGAATTTATTGCCCCCCATCTATCCTCAGAGTTCGTACTGCTTGGTGACCTAAACTGGGATATGCTTAACACCCCGGCCAACCTACAATCTAAACTAGATGCCCTCAATCTCACACAAATTATCAAGGAACCTACCAGGTACAACCCTAAATCCGTAAACATGGGCACCCTCATAGATATCATCCTGACTAACTTACCCTCTAAATACACCTCTGCTGTCTTCATCTCAGCGATCACTGCCTTATTGCCTGCGTCCGTAACGGGTCCGCGGTCAAACGACCACCCCTCATCACTGTCAAACGCTCCCTAAAACACTTTAGCGAGCAGGCCTTCCTAATTGACCTGGCCCAGGTATCCTGGATGGATATCGATCTCATTCCGTCAGTAGAGGATGCCTGGTTGTTCTTTTAAAAGTGCTTTCCTCTCAATCTTAAATAAGCATGCCCCATTCAAAAAATTCAGAACTAAGAACAGATATAGCCCCTGGTTCTCCTCAGACTTGACTGCCCTTGACCAGCACAAAAACATCCTGTGGCATACTGCATTAGCATCGAATAGCCCCCGCGATATGCAACTTTTCAGGGAAGTTAGGAAGCAAAGGCTAGCTTTTTCAAACAGAAATTTGCATCCTATAGCACTAACTCCAAAAAGTTTTGGGACACTGTAAAGTCCATGGAGAATAAGAGCACCTCCTCCCAGCTGCCCACTGCTGAGGCTAGGAAACACTATCACCACCGATAAATCTACAATAATCGAAAATTTCAACAAGCATTTTGCTACGGCTGGCCATGCTTTCCACCTGGCTACCACTACCCCGGCCACCAGCTCTGCACCCTCCGCTGCAACTTGCCCATGCCCCCCCCCCGCTTCAACTTCACACAAATTCAGACAGCTAATGTTCTGAAAGAGCTGCAAAATCTGGACCCCTACAAATCATCTTGGCTAGACAATCTGGACCCTTTCTAAAATTAGCCGCCGAAATTGTCGCAACCCCTATTACTAGCCTGTTCAACCTCCTCTTTCGTAACGTCTGAGATCCCCAGAGATTGGAAAGCTGCTGCGGTCATCCCCCTCTTCAAAGGGGGTGACACTCTAGATCCAAACTGTTACAGACCTATATCCTTCCTGCCCTGCCTTTCGAAAGTATTTGAAAGCCAAGTTAACAAACAGATCATAGACCATTTCGAATCCCACCGTACCTTCTCCGCTATGTAATCCGGTTTCCGAGCTGGTCATGGGTGCACCTCAGCCACGCTCAAGGTCCTAAACGATATTATAACTGCGATCGATAATAGACAGTACTGTGCAGCAGTCTTCATCGACCTGGCCAAGGCTTTCGACTCTGTCAACCACCGCATTCTTATTGGCAGACTAAATAGCCTTGGTTTCTCAAATGACTGCCTCGCCTGGTTCACCAACTACTTCTGAGATAGAGTTCAATGTGTCAAATCGGAGGGCCTGTTGTCTGGACCTATGGCAGTCTCTATGGGGGTGGCACAGGGTTCAATTCTTGGGCCGACTCTATCAATGATGTTGCTCTTGCTGCTGGTGACTCTCAGATCCACCTCTACGCAGACGACACCATTTTGTATACATCTGGCCCTTCATTGGACACTGTGTTAACAAACCTCCAAACAAGCTTCAATGCCATACAACACTCCTTCCGTAGCCTCCAACTGCTCTTAAACACTAGTAAAACTAAATGCATGCTCTTCAACCGAACGCTGCTTGCACCCGCCCACCCGACTAGAATCACTACTCTCGGCGGGTCTGACCTAGAGTATGTGGACAACTACAAATACCTAGGTGTCTGGTTAGACTGTAAACTCTCCTTCCAGACTCACATTAAGCATCTCCAATCCAAAGTTAAATCTAGAATCGGCTTCCTATTTCGCAACAAAGCCTCCTTCACTCATGCTGCTAAACATACCCTCGTAAAACTGACTTTCCTACCGATCCTTGACTTCGGCGATGTCATTTACAAAATAGCCTCCAACACTCTACTGAGCTAATTGGATGTAGTCTATCACAGTGCCATCCGTTTTGTCTCCAAAGCCCCATATACTACCCACCACTGTGACCTGTACGCTCTTGTTGGCTGGTCCTCACTACATATTCCTTGCCAAACTCACTGGCTCCAGGTCATCTATAAATCACTGCTGGGCAAATCCCCGCCTTATCTTAGCTCATTGGTCACCATAGCAGCACCCACCCGTAGTATGTGCTCCAGCAGGTATATCTCACTGGTCATCCCCAAAGCCAACACCTCCTTTGGCCGCCATTCCTTCCAGTTCTCTGCTGCCAATGACTGGAACGAATTGCAAAAATCTCTGAAGTTGAAGACACTTATCTCCCTCTCTAACTTTAAGCATCAGTCAGAGCAGCTTACCGATCACTGCACCTGTACACAGCCCCATCTGAAATTAGCCCACCCAACTACCTCATCCCCATATTGTTATTTATTTTGCTCATTTGCACCCCAGTATCTCTATTTGCACATCATCTCTTGCACATCTATCATTCCAGTGTTAATACTAATTGTAATTATTTTGCACTATGGCCTATTTATTGCCTTACCTCCATAACTTGCTACATTTGCACACACTGTATATATATTTTCTGTTGTATTTTATGACCTTATGTTTTTTTTACCCCATATGTAACTCTGTGTTGTTTTTATCGCACTGCTTTGCTTTATCTTGGCCAGGTCGCAGTTGTAAATGAGAACTTGTTCTCAACTGGCTTACCTGGTTAAATAAAGGTGAAATAAATACAATAAAAATCTCACGCTCTCTCTCTGTGACGTCTCTCTCTCTCTGTCTGTCTCTATTCAATTCAAAGGGCTTTATTGACATGGGAAACATATGTTTACAGTTTCAAATATTGCTGCTGTGATGGCACACTGTGGTATTTCACCCAGTAGATAAGGGAGTTTATCAAAATTGGTTTGTTTTCAAATTCTTTGTGGGTCTGTGTAATCTGAGGGAAATATGTGTCTCTAATATGGTCATACATTTGGCAGGAGGTTAGGAAGTGCAGCTCAGTTTCCACCTCATTTTGTGGGCAGTGTACACATAGCCTGTCTTCTCTTGAGAGCCAGGTCTGCCTACGGCGGCCTTCTCAATAGCAAGGCTATGCTCACTGAGTCTGTACATAGTCAAAACTTTCCTTAAGTTTGGGTCAGTCATAGTGGTCAGGTATTCTGCCACTGTGTACTCTCTGTTTAGGGCCAGAAAGCATTCTAGTTTACTCTGTTTTTTTGTTAAATCTTTCCAATGTGTCAAGTAATATATTTTTGTTTTCTTATGATTTGGTTGGGTCTAATTGTGTTGTTGTCCTGGGGCTCTGTGGGGTCTGTTTGTGTTTGTGAACAGAGCCCCAGGACCAGCTTGCTTAGGGGACTATTCTCCAAGTTCATCTCTCTGTAGGTGATGGCTTTGTTATGGAAGGTTTGGGAATCGCTTCCTTTTATATGGTTGTAGAATTTAACGGCTCTTTTCTGGATTTTGATAATTAGCGGGTATCGGCCTAATTCTGCTCTCTCTCTCTCTCTCTCTCTGTGTCCCTCTCTCACGCGGTGTGTCTGTCTCTCTGGATCTCTGTGACATCGGTCTCTCCTGTCAGGCCAAGGTGACAGCCAACAACGATAAGAATCGTACCTACTCCGTGTTCTACATTCCCAAAGTCACTGGGATGCACAAGGTGAGCCTGACCTTTAGTCCTTATTTCTACCCTAAACAAACCCTAAGGTGATGGTGCTCGTTGTAATGTTAGGTAACCCTTAACCCTTAACCCAAAACCTTACATGACCTGCTGTTTGTTATGACCAGGTGACGGTGCTGTTTGGTAACTGTGTTTTACTAGGTGACGGTGCTGTTTGGTAACTGAGTTTTACTAGGTGACGGTTGCTGTTTGGTAACTGTGTTTACTAGGTGACGGTGCTGTTTGGTAAACTGTGTTTTACTAGGTGACGGTGCTGTTTGGTAACTGTGTTTTTACTAGGTGACGGTTGCTGTTTGGTAACTGTGTTTTACTAGGTGACGGTGCTGTTTGGTACTGTTTTCTAGGTAACGTGCTGTTGTTAACTGGTTTACTAGGTGACGGTGCTGTTTGTACTGTTTTACTAGGTGACGGTGCTGTTTGTAACTGTTTTACTAGTGACGGTGCTGTTTGGTAACTGTTTTACAGGTGCGGTGCTGTTGTAACGTTTTACTAGGTACGTGCTGTTGGTAACTGTGTTTTCTAGGTGACGGTCTGTTTGGTACTTGTTTTATAGTACGGTGCTTTGGTAACTGTTTTACTGGTGAGTCTGTTTGGTAACTGTTTTACTAGGTGACGGTGCTGTTTGGTAACTGTGTTTTACTAGACGGTGCTGTTGGTAACTGTGTTTCTGGGACGGTGCTGTTTGTACTGTTTTACTAGTGACGGTGCTGTTGGACTGTGTTTTCTTGACGTGCGTTTGGTAACTGTTTTTACTAGGTGACGGTGGGTTTGGTAACTGTGTTTTACTAGGTGAGTGCGGTTTGGTAATGTGTTTACTAGGGCGGGCTGTTTGGTAACTGTGTTTTACTATGAGTGCTGTTGGTAACTGTTTTTACTATGACGGTGCTGTTTGGTAACTGTGTTTTACTAGGTGACGGTGCTGTTTGGTAACAGTGTGTTTTACTAGGTGACGGTGCTGTTTGGTAACAGTGTGTGTTTTACTAGGTGACGGTGCTGTTTGGTAACAGTGTGTGTTTTACTAGGTGACAGTGCTGTTTGATAACTGTGTTTTACTAGGTAACGGTGCTGTTTGGTAACAGTGTGTGTTTTACTAGGTGACGGTGCTGTTTGGTAACTGTTTTACTAGGTGACGGTGCTGTTTGGTAACTGTGTTTTACTAGGTGACGGTGCTGTTTGGTAACTGTGTTTTACTAGGTGACGGTGCTGTTTGGTAACTGTGTTTTACTAGGTGACGGTGCTGTTTGGTAACTGTGTTTTACTTGGTGACGGTGCTGTTTGGTAACTGCGTTTTACTAGGTGACGGTGCTGTTTGGTAACTGTGTTTTACTTGGTGACGGTGCTGTTTGGTAACTGTGTTTTACTAGGTGACGGTGCTGTTTGGTAACTGTGTTTTACTAGGTGACAGTGCTGTTTGGTAACTGTGTTTTACTTGGTGACGGTGCTGTTTGGTAACTGTTTTACTAGGTGACGGTGCTGTTTGGTAACTGCGTTTTACTATGTGACGGTGCTGTTTGGTAATTGTGTGTGTTTTACTAGGTGACGGTGCTGTTTGGTAACTGTTTTACTAGGTGACGGTGCTGTTTGGTAACTGTGTTCTACTAGGTGACGGTGCTGTTTGGTAACTGTTTTACTAGGTGACGGTGCTGTTTGGTAACTGTTTTACTAGGTGACGGTGCTGTTTGGTAACTGAGTTTTACTAGGTGACGGTGCTGTTTGGTAACTGTGTTTTACTAGGTGACGGTGCTGTTTGGTAACAGTGTGTGTTTTACTTGGTGACGGTGCTGTTTGGTAACAGTGTGTGTTTTACTTGGTGACGGTGCGGTTTGGTAACTGTGTTTTACTTGGTGACGGTGCTGTTTGGTAACTGTTTTACTAGGTGATGGGGCTGTTTGGTAACTGTGTTTTACTAGGTGACGGTGCTGTTTGGTAACTGTGTTTTACTAGGTGACGGTGCTGTTTGGTAACTGAGTTTTACTAGGTGACGGTGCTGTTTGGTAACTGTGTTTTACTAGGTGACGGTGCTGTTTGGTAACAGTGTGTGTTTTACTTGGTGACGGTGCTGTTTGGTAACAGTGTGTGTTTTACTTGGTGACGGTGCGGTTTGGTAACTGTGTTTTACTTGGTGACGGTGCTGTTTGGTAACTGTTTTACTAGGTGATGGGGCTGTTTGGTAACTGTGTTTTACTAGGTGACGGTGCTGTTTGGTAACTGTGTTTTACTAGGTGAGGGTGCTGTTTGGTAACTGTGTGTTTTACTAGGTGACGGTGCTGTTTGGTAACTGTTTTACTAGGTGACGGTGCTGTTTGGTAACTGTTTTACTAGGTGACGGTGCTGTTTGGTAACTGTTTTACTAGGTGACGGTGCTGTTTGGTAACTGTTTTACTAGGTGACGGTGCTGTTTGGTAACTGTGTTTTACTAGGTGACGGTGCTGTTTGGTAACTGTGTGTGTTTTACTAGGTGACAGTGCTGTTTGGTAACAGTGTGTGTTTTACTAGGTGACGGTGCTGTTTGGTAACTGTGTTTTACTAGGTGACGGTGCTGTTTGGTAACTGTTTTACTAGGTGACGGTGCTGTTTGGTAACTGTGTTTTACTAGGTGACGGTGCTGTTTGGTAACTGTTTTACTAGGTGACGGTGCTGTTTGGTAACTGTTTTACTAGGTGACGGTGCTGTTTGGTAACTGTGTTTTACTAGGTGACGGTGCTGTTTGGTAACAGTGTGTGTTTTACTAGGTGACGGTGCTGTTTGGTAACTGTTTTACTAGGTGACGGTGCTGTTTGGTAACTGTTTTACTAGGTGACAGTGCTGTTTGGTAACTGTTTTACTAGGTGACGGTGCTGTTTGGTAACTGTTTTACTAGGTGACGGTGCTGTTTGGTAACTGTGTTTTACTAGGTGACGGTGCTGTTTGGTAACTGTGTGTTTTACTAGGTGACGGTGCTGTTTGGTAACAGTGTGTGTTTTACTAGGTGACGGTGCTGTTTGGTAACTGTTTTACTAGGTGACGGTGCTGTTTGGTAACTGTTTTACTAGGTGACGGTGCTGTTTGGTAACTGTTTTACTAGGTGACGGTGCTGTTTGGTAACTGTTTTACTAGGTGACGGTGCTGTTTGGTAACTGTTTTACTAGGTGACGGTGCTGTTTGGTAACTGTTTTACTAGGTGACGGTGCTGTTTGGTAACTGTTTTACTAGGTGACGGTGCTGTTTGGTAACTGTTTTACTAGGTGACGGTGCTGTTTGGTAACTGTGTTTTACTAGGTGACGGTGCTGTTTGGTAACTGGTGTTTTACTAGGTGACGGTGCTGTTTGGTAACTGTGTTTTACTAGGTGACGGTGCTGTTTGGTAACTGTGTTTTACTAGGTGACGGTGCTGTTTGGTAACTGTGTTTTACTAGGTGACAGTGCTGTTTGGTAACTGTTTTACTAGGTGACGGTGCTGTTTGGTAACTCTGTGTTTTACTTGGTGACGGTGCTGTTTGGTAACAGTGTGTGTTTTACTAGGTGACGGTGCTGTTTGGTAACAGTGTGTGTTTTACTAGGTGACGGTGCTGTTTGGTAACAGTGTGTGTTTTACTAGGTGACGGTGCTGTTTGGTAACTGTTTTACTAGGTGACGGTGCTGTTTGGTAACTGTTTTACTAGGTGAAGGTGCTGTTTGGTAACTCTGTGTTTTACTTGGTGACGGTGCTGTTTGGTAACTGTGTTTTACTAGGTGACGGTGCTGTTTGGTAACTGTTTTACTAGGTGACGGTGCTGTTTGGTAACTGTTTTACTTGGTGACGTGCTGTTTGGTAACTGTGGTTTTACTAGGTGACGGTGCTGTTTGGTAACTGTTTTACTAGGTGACAGTGCTGTTTGGTAACAGTGTGTGTTTTACTAGGTGACGGTGCTGTTTGGTAACTGTTTTACTAGGTGAAGGTGCTGTTTGGTAACTCTGTGTTTTACTTGGTGACGGTGCTGTTTGGTAACTGTGTTTTACTAGGTGACGGTGCTGTTTGGTAACTGTTTTACTAGGTGACGGTGCTGTTTGGTAACTGTTTTACTTGGTGACGGTGCTGTTTGGTAACTGTGTTTTACTAGGTGACGGTGCTGTTTGGTAACTGTTTTACTAGGTGACAGTGCTGTTTGGTAACAGTGTGTGTTTTACTAGGTGACGGTGCTGTTTGGTAACTGTTTTACTAGGTGACGGTGCTGTTTGGTAACTCTGTGTTTTACTTGGTGACGGTGCTGTTTGGTAACTGTTTTACTAGGTGACGGTGCTGTTTGCGGGTCTACACATCAATAAGTCTCCTTATGAGGTGGATGTGGGGATGGCTCAGGGAGACAGCAGTAAGGCTGCAGCCCAGGGACCAGGACTAGAACCTTCCGGGAACATCGCCAACAAGACCACATACTTTGACGTCTACACTGCAGGTACAATCCGTTTTCTGTCTTCACAGCCATTGAACGCTGAAGCTGTTTTAAAATCACCATTGGTCTCTTGCTGATATCCTTGAGCAGTTTCCTTCCTCTCTGGCAGCTCCGTTAGGAAGGACGACTGTATATTTGTTTTGGTTGTGGTTCAGATTATTTTGTGCCCAATATAAATTAATGGTAAATAATGTATTGTGTCATTTTGGAGTCACTTTTTTATTGTAAATAAGAATATAATATGTTTCTAAACCCTTCTACATTGTGGATGCTACCATGATTATGGATCATCCTGAATTAATCGTGAACAATTGAGTGAGAAAGTTAGACACACAAATATCATAACCCCCCAAAAATGCTAACCTCCCCTGTTATTGTAATGGTGAGAGGTTAGCATGTCTTGGGGGTATGATATAAAATGCTAACCTCCCCTGTTATTGTAATGGTGAGAGGTTAGCATGTCTTGGGGGTATGATATAAAATGCTAGCCTCCCCTGTTATTGTAATGGCGAGAGGTTAGCATGTCTTGGGGGTATGATATAAAATGCTAACCTCCCCTGTTATTGTAATGGTGAGAGGTTAGCATGTCTTTTGGGGTATGATATTAGTGCATCTGTAACGTTCTCACTCACCATTATTCACGATTCATTCAGGATTATCCGTAACCATGGTAGCATCCACATTCATGTAGCCGTGTTTAGAAACATTCTATTCTTATTTACAATAAAAGTGACTCCAAAATGACACAATATGACTGTAAGTCGCTTTGGATAAAAGCGTCTGCTAAATGGCATATTATACTTATTATTATACAATGCATTTGTACTTTAATACACATACAAGTACCTTCAGGCTCTGATCAGTCCCTACACCCAAACGAGGGCACTGCGTTCATCCACCTCTGGCCTGCTGGCTCCCCTTCCTCTGCGGAAGCATAGTTCCCGCTCAGCCCAGTCAAAACTGTTCGCTGCTCTGGCACCCCAATGGTGGAACAAGCTCCCTCACGACGCCAGGACAGCGGAGTTACTCACCACCTTCCGGAGACATTTGAAACCCCACCTCTTTAAGGAATACCTGGGATAGGATAAAGTAATCCTTCTACCCCCCCCCCCACAAAAAAAATATATATATATATAAAATATATTTAAAAAAAAAAAAAGATATTGTAAAGTGGTTATCCCACTGGCTATAGGGTGAATGCACCAATTTGTAAGTCGCTCTGGATAAGAGCGTCTGCTAAATGACGTAAATGTAAATGTAAATGTAAGTAAATTTGCCGCAGCGGGGGGGGGCAGGGCAGCGCAGCGCTATGTAAAAGTGCTGTAATTTCTAAATGGTTCACCCGATATGTATGAAAATACCCTCAAATTAAAGCTGACAGTCTGCACTGTAACCCCATAGTTATTGTTTGATTTCAATCCAAACTTTTGGAGTATAGAGTCAAACAAAAGAGTGCTTCACTGTCCCAATAATGATGGAGGGCATGATGCTGAAGCTGTCCCTGTCTCCAGGTGCTGGTGTGGGAGAGGTGGAGGTGGTGATCATGGACGCAGCGGGTAAGAAGGACGCGGTGGTGTGTCAGATCGAGGATAAGGGCAACAGTTCGTACCGCTGCAGCTACAAGCCCACCCTGGAGGGGCCACACACCATCTACGTTACCTTCGCTGGAGGACAGATCAGCAAGAGCCCCTTCACTGTCAACATAGGAGAGGGTGAGAGACAGACAGCGGGAGGGAGATGAGGAGGCTGAGAGACAGACCTTTGTTTGTTTCAGTTATTCTGTTCTGGTTCTGTTTCAGTTTTTCTGTTCTGGTTCTGTTTCAGTTTTTCTGTTCTGTTTCAGTTTTTCTGTTCTTGTTCTGTTTCAGTTTTTCTGTTATTCTGTTCTGTTTCAGTTTTTCTGTTTCAGTTTTTCTGTTATTCTGTTCTGTTTCAGTTTTTCTGTTATTCTGTTCTGTTTCAGTTTTTCTGTTATTCTGTTCTGTTTCAGTTTTTCTGTTATTCTGTTCTGGTTCTGTTTCAGTTTTTCTGTTATTCTGTTCTGGTTCTGTTTCAGTTTTTCTGTTCTGGTTCTGTTGGTCTGTTTGACTCTGAGTCACTTCTATCTTATCTTTTGTTCTAACTGCTTTGTTCTCTCTCTCTCTCTCTCTCTCTCTCTGGAAGGATGGAGGGAGCTGGTATCTCCTCTCTCTCTGGAAGGATGGAGGGAGCTGGTATCTCTTCTCTCTCTGGAGCAGCTTGTTCCTTCTACTGTCCTGTCACTTCCTGGGATCTCTCTTGGGTGCTAGACTCGGTGTGTGTGTCTCATACTGTTCCTTGTGGCGCATCCTCTCTCTCATAGACTGGTGTGTCATCTCCCTCTAAACCTCCAAACCCAGACTGACCCAGTGTCACCACACACACACACACACACACACACACACACACACACACACACACGGTCGTGACTCAGCAGGTCCTTATTTAGTTGCTCTCTGTGGCGTTCTCCCCCCCCCCACCCCCCCGGGGTAAATGTCATCCATTCAAACTACAGACTGTGTTAAACTCTAACCCCCCCCCCCCCCCCCCCCCCCCCCCCCCCCAGCGTGTAACCCCAGCCTGGTTCGGGCTAAGGGGCGTGGTCTGCAGCCTAAAGGCCTCCGGGTGAAGGAGACAGCTGACTTCAAAGTCTTCACTAAAGGAGCTGGGACTGGAGAACTCAAAGTCAGCATCAAGGGCCCCAGTAAGTCAACTACACTACCCAGCAGCCGCTATGTTCATAAACTACACTACCCAGCAGCTTCTGTTAATAAACGACACTACCCAGCAGCCTCTGCTTTATAAACTACACTACCCATCCGCCTCTTTTTCATAAACTATGCCAACAAGCTTATTTATTTATTCACTCACTCACTCAATACCGATCAAAAGTTTTAGAACACCTACTCATTCAATGGTTTTTCTTTATTTTTACTATTTTCTAGTGGTAGTCCTCTGTAGCTCAGCTGGTAGAGCACGGCGCTTGTAACGCCAGGGTAGTGGGTTCGATCCCCGGGACCACCCATACACAAAAAATTTATGCACGCATGACTGTAAGTCGCTTTTGATAAAAGCGTCTGCTAAATGGCATATTATTATTATTATATTATTATACATTGTACAATAATCGTGAAGACATCAAAACTATGAAATAACACATATGGAATCATGTAATAACGAAAAAAGTGTTAAAGAAATCAAAATATATTTTATATTCTTCAAATAGCCACCATTTGCCTTGATGACAGCTTTGCACACTCTTGGCGTATGTAATCTCTTTCACACACACAAGATATGGGACTCAATGGGTGCGTTCGAGTGGATCCATTTTGTCTAGTCGGTGACCATCGTTGGTCACTGCCTTTCAAAGTGTGTTGCATTATATGGATAAAAATTGTCCGACTGCATGAACTTTTCACTGCATGTTTCTGCAGTTCTTCACCAGCTTCCTACTGCAGCCGTCGCCTGCATTGTGGGAGGTTCTATTGTCAACCAATCATTAGGGTGTTTCTGTTTGACCCACGCGAACGTGACCAAAGATGTGACTGAAACGGGAACCAATTTGCCGCAATTCACGTGTAGTCAACAGTGAATAAATAAATGTGATTGAGGCTCTCTCACTAATTGATTGAATAATGTACACACGATTTCAGTTTGTGTGTGTGAGATGGGTGTTGGAGTCAAGTTGAAAAATGTATGCACTCACTAACTGTAAGTCGCTCAGGATAAGAGCGTCTGCTAAATGACTAAAATGTAAATGTACGTTTTGTTTCAACATTTCTAAATAACTTTTTATAAACCATGATGAATGACCAAACTCTGCTGAGACTGGGGGAGGGGAAGGGAGGAGAAAGGGGGCGAAGAGGAGAAAAGGAGGCAGGAAACTGGGAGAGAGAGAGAGAAAAAAAAAAAACAAAAAAGAAGGAAAAAATGAAAATACGACTAGAGATAGATCTTCCCACCCTTCTATCTCGTATCCTTCTCTCTGTCTACTCTCTCTTCTTGTATCTATATCTGTGGCTCTCTCTCTCTCAAAAGAAGAGAAGGGGAGAGAGACGGAGAAAGGGAGCGAGAGCGGAGCACGAGAGAGAGAGAGAGATGAGAGAGAGAGAGAGGGGGAGAGAGAGGAGAGAGAGAGAGAAGAAAAAAAAAGGAGGGAGAGAGAGAGGAGAGAGAGTAGAGGATAAAGATGAGAGGGATAGAGAGAGAAAAAAAAAAAAGGGAAGAGAGAAGGAGGGAGAGAGACGACGAGAAAAAAGAGAGACAGAGAGCCGAGGGAGAGAGTAGAAAAAAGAGAGAGAGGAAATCAAAGAAAGGAAAAAACAAAAAGAGAGGGAAAAAGAGAGAGAGAGAGAGGGAGAGAGAGCGAGAGAGAGAGAGAGCGGGAGAGAGAGAAAACGAGCGAGAGAGAGACGGAGAGAGAGAAAAAAGAGAGAGAGGGGATAAGAGAGAGCAGAAAAAAAAGAAAGAGAGAGAGAAAAAAAAAAGAGAGAGAGAAAAACAAAGGACGGAGACGAGAGAGAGAAGAAATAAGAGGAGGAGCGGGCAAGAGAAAAGAGAGAGGAGAACATGAGAGAGATCCCCTCTCGCTGTCTCTCGCTCTCCCCTCTCTCTCTCTCCCCTCTTTCTCTCTCTTCTCTCACCCTCTCTCTTCTCACCCTCTCTCTCCCCCTCTCTCTCTCACCCTCTCTATGTCTCTCTCTCTCTCAACAGAGGGTTCTGGGGAGCCTTGTAAGAGAAAAGGGATTAGGGAGATGGTGTGTTTGGGTTTGAATACTACCCCACTCCTGGAACATACAATATTAACATCACGTGGGGAGGACAACACATCCCCCGAAGGTAACACACACACACCACACAAACACACACACACACACAACACAGGTAACACACACACACACCCAGGTAACACACACACACCCAGGTAACACACACACCCACCCAGGTAACTAACACACACACACATCCCCCCCAGGTACATTTACATTGTTAACCAGACTGACTTACAGTTAGTGCATTTAACTAAGTCTAGTACCATGTAACAGTCATTGCAAGTAGACTCTTCTTCTAAATAACTGCCATCATCTTTGCAACACGTTATGTGGGTACACAACAAAATCAATAGTCATGAATAGAGTGCCTGGTGTAATGCTGTCAATGGTCAATTCCTTTTTGCAGTCCGTGGATGGTGAGGTGGTTTGGAGGCGGGCAACAGAAGGTGCGAGCCTGGGGGCCCGGCCTGGAGAGCGGCATTGTGGGTAAATCTGCCGACTTCGTGGTCGAAGCTGTCGGAGAGAATGTGGGAACACTGGGTAAGTACAGAGACGCACACAGAGAGAGAGAGACGCACACAGAGGAGCGGAGAAGACGCGCAACAGAGAGGAGGAGGAGAGAGACGCGCACAACAGAGAGAGCGGACGCGCACCAGAGAGGAGAGAGACGCGCACAGAGAGAGAGAGAGAAGAGACGCGCCCACGAGAGAGAGAGACGCGCACAGAGAGAGAGAGACGCGCACAGAGAGAGAGAGACGCGCACAGAGAGAGCGACGCGCACAGAGAGTAGAGACGCGTCACAGAGAGAGAGAGAGACGCGCACAGAGAGAGAGAGACTGCGAACGAGAGAGGAGATAGGACGCGCACAGAGAGATAGAGACGCGCACAGAGAGAGAGAGAACGCGCCAGAGGGAGAGAGAGAAGGCGCACAGAGAGAGAGAGACGCGCCACAGAGAGAGAGACGCGCACAGAGAGAGAGAAGCGCACAGAGAGAGGACGGCACAAGAGAGAGAGAGAGACGCACAGAGAGAGAGAGAGACGCGCACAGAGAGAGAGAGACGCGCACAGAGAGAGAGAGACGCGCACAGAGAGAGAGAGACGCGCACAGAGAGAGAGAGACGCGCACAGAGAGAGAGAGACGCGCACAGAGAGAGAGAGACGCGCACAGAGAGAGAGAGGACGCGCACAGAGAGAGGAGACGCGCACAGAGAGAGAGACGCGCACAGAGAGAGAGAGACGCGCACAGAGAGAGAGAGACGCGCACAGAGAGAGGGAGACGCGCACAGAGAGAGGGAGACGCGCACAGAGAGAGGGAGACGCGCACAGAGAGAGGGAGACGCGCACAGAGAGAGGGAGACGCGCACAGAGAGAGGGAGACGCGCACAGAGAGAGGGAGACGCGCACAGAGAGAGGGAGACGCGCACAGAGAGAGGGAGACGCGCACAGAGAGAGGGAGCGGCACAGAGAGAGGGAGACGCGCACAGAGAGAGGAGACGCGCACAGAGAGAGGGAGACGCGCACAGAGAGAGGGAGACGCGCACAGAGAGACACAGAGAGACACAGAGAGACACAGAGAGACACACACACAGAGACAGAGACACACACACACAGAGACAGACACACACACACACAGAGACAGACACACACACACACACACATACACAGAGACACACACACACATACACAGAGACACACACACACACATACACAGAGACACACACACACACAGAGACACAGACACACACGCACACACAGAGACACACACAGAGACAGACACACACAGAGACACAGACACACACAGACACACACACACACACACACACACACACACACACAGAGACAGAAACACACACACACAGAGACACAGAGACACACACACACACACACACACGACACACACACAGAGACACAGACACACACAGAGACACACACACACAGAGACCCTGCGTGTCCTCATCAGAAGGTGTGTGTCCAGGTTTCTCGGTGGAGGGGCCGTCCCAGGCGAAGATAGAGTGTGACGATAAGGGCGACGGGTCATGTGACGTGCGGTACTGGCCAATGGAAGCAGGGGAATATGCGGTGCATGTGCTCTGTAACAACGAGGACATCCAGCACTCTCCCTTCATGGCTGAAATCACTGCTGCTCCAAACAAGGACTACTACCCTGATAAGGTACGTTCAATCACTGCTGCTCCAAACAAGGACTACTACCCAGTAAGGTACGTTCAATCACTGCTGCTCCAAACAAGGGACTACACCTGATAAGGTACGTTCAATCATGCTGCTCCAAACAAGGGACTACTACCCTGATAAGGTACGTTCAATCACTGCTGCTCCAAACAAGGACTACTACCCTGATAAGGTACGTTCAATCACTCGCTCCACAACAAGGACACACCCATAAGTACGCAAACACTGCTGCTCCAAAACAAGACACACCCAACAGGACAGTCAACACGCGCTCCAAACAAGGACACACTAAGGTACGTTCACACGCGCCAACAGACTACACCTGAACACGTCAACACAACTCCACACACAAGACTACACCGAAAGACGTCACATCGCAAACAAGGACACACCATAAGGACCAATCACTCGCTCAACAAGGACACCCTGATAAGGTGTTCATCAGAAGTGGTGTCCAGGTTTTAGGTGTCAGCGCGCCCCCAAAAAGGCGAATGATAGAGTGTACGTCAAATGCGCGAAAAGGGACTCATGGACGTTCAATCACTGGCCCAAACAGGGGAATATGAAGGTGAAATGTGCTCTAACAACGAGGACTACCTCCCTCATGGCTGAATTCATGCTGCTCCAAACAAGGACTACTACCCTGATAAGGTACGTTCAATCACTGCTGCTCCAAACAAGGACTACTACCCTGATAAGGTACGTTCAATCACTGCTGCTCCAAACAAGGACTACTACCCTGATAAGGTACGTTCAATCACTGCTGCTCCAAACAAGGACTACTCCCCTGATAAGGTACGTTCAATCACTGCTGCTCAAACAAGGACTACTACCTGATAAGGTACGTTCAATCACTGCTGCTCCAAACAAGGACTACTACCCTGATAAGGTACGTTCAATCACTGCTGCTCCAAACAAGGACTACTACCCTGATAAGGTACGTTCAATCACTGCTGCTCCAAACAAGGACTACTACCCTGATAAGGTACGTTCGATCACTGCTGCTCCAAACAAGGACTACTACCCTGATAAGGTACGTTCAATCACTGCTGCTCCAAACAAGGACTACTACCCTGATAAGGTACGTTCAATCACTGCTGCTCCAAACAAGGACTACTACCTGATAAGGTACGTTCAATCACTGCTGCTCCAAACAAGGACTACTACCCTGATAAGGTACGTTCAATCACTGCTGCTCCAAACAAGGACTACTACCCTGATAAGGTACGTTCAATCACTGCTGCTCCAAACAAGGACTACTACCCTGATAAGGTACGTTCAATCACTGCTGCTCCAAACAAGGACTACTACCCTGATAAGGTACGTTCATCACTGCTGCTCCAAACAAGGACTACTACCCTGATAAGGTACGTTCAATCACTGCTGCTCCAAACAAGGACTACTACCTGATAAGGTACGTTCGATCACTGCTGCTCCAAACAAGGACTACTACCCTGATAAGGTACGTTCAATCACTGCTGCTCCAAACAAGGACTACTACCCTGATAAGGTACGTTCAATCACTGCTGCTCCAAACAAGGACTACTACCTGATAAGGTACGTTCAATCACTGCTGCTCCAAACAAGGACTACTACCCTGATAAGGTACGTTCAATCACTGCTGCTCCAAACAAGGACTACTACCCTGATAAGGTACGTTCAATCACTGCTGCTCCAAACAAGGACTACTACCCTGATAAGGTACGTTCAATCACTGCTGCTCCAAACTAATAAGGTATGTTTGTGATTTAGAATATGAAGATTACTTAATAACTTAAGGTTGAAACGTGGTGATCCCCAGTGTAGCTCCCCTGGGGTTAAGCCTTGCTCGAAGGCACCAGAAACTCTTCAGTGGCTGACTCTCATCAAGCCAGATTTTCCCTGTCAAACCCGGGTTTTGAACCGGCAACCCTCCAGTTGCTAACCTGTGTTTGATGCGCTGGCTTTGCTGTGTACAGGTGAAGGCGTATGGTCCAGGTCTACAGAGCAGTGGTCTGGCTGTGGGGAAACCGACTGAGTTCACCGTCGACGCCAAGCTGGGAGGGAAAGCGTCTCTCAAGATCCTGGCACAGGTACGTGGGGAGTAGACTAACACATGGCTGTGTGTGTGTTTGATGGCTGTGTGTGTGTTTGCATGGCTGTGTGTGTGAGGTGTGTATGTGTGGTAGCCAAGACTGTCATCGTATTCTCTGAAGGACAAACCAACTGATGAATGATGCACAGCCTGTTTAACAATGATACTACAGGTCTCTCACTGTCTCTCTCTCTCGCTATCTCTCTCGCTATCTCTCACTGTCTCTCGCTATCTCTCACTGTCTCTCGCTATCTCTCACTGTCTCTCGCTATCTCTCTCTCGCTCTCGCTCTCTCTCTCTCTCACCATCTCTCCCTCTCGCTGTCTCTCTCTCTGTCTCTAGGATGGTGAGGGCACCCCAGTAGATGTTCAGGTGAAGGATAACGGTAATGGAACGTACACCTGCAGTTACACCCCCAAGAAACCCCTCAAACACACCGTCATGGCGTCCTGGGGCGGAGTCAACATACCGGACAGTCCTTTCAGGGTGAGCCCCTCCCACCCACACTCTAAATGGGGACTTCAGCCCCTCCCACCCACACTCTAAATGGGGACTTCAGCCCCTCCCACCCACACTCTAAATGGGGACTTCAGCCCCTCCCCAACCCACACTCTAAATGGGGACTTCAGCCCCCCCCACCCACACTCTAAATGGGGACTTCAGCCCCCCCAACCCACACTCTAAATGGGGACTTCAGCCCCTCCCCCACCCACACTCTAAATGGGGACTTAGGACCACCCCCCACCCACACTCTAAATGGGGACTTCAGCCCCCCCCCACCCACACTCTAAATGGGGACTTCAGCCCCCCCCACCCACACTCTAAATGGGGACTTCAGCCCCTCCCCCACCCACACTCTAAATGGGGACTTCAGCCCCTCCCCCCCCACACTCTAAATGGGGACTTCAGCCCCTCCCCCACCCACACTCTAAATGGGGACTTCAGCCCCCCCCACCCACACTCTAAATGGGGACTTCAGCCCCCCCCACCCACACTCTAAATGGGGACTTCAGCCCCTCCCACCCACACTCTAAATGGGGACTTCAGCCCCTCCCACCCACACTCTAAATGGGGACTTCAGCCCCCCCCACCCACACTCTAAATGGGGACTTCAGCCCCCCCCACCCACACTCTAAATGGGGACAGTCCCCCAACATTGTCTTTCCTGACGGTTTTCTCATTGTGTGTGTAGATGACCATCGGGGCAGGCTGCCACCCTAACAAGGTGAAGGTGTCAGGTCCTGGTGTAGCTAAAACGGGTCTGAAGGCCTTTGAACCAACATCCTTCACTGTGGACTGTGCTGAGGCAGGACAAGGTAAGACTGTCACCCTACGCTCTGACTGTCACCCTACGCTCTGACTGTCACCCTACGCTCTGACTGTCACCCTACGCTCTGACTGTCACCCTACGCTCTGACTGTCACCCTACGCTCTGACTGTCACCCTACGCTCTGACTGTTACGCTCTGACTGTCACCCTACGCTGACTGACTGTTCACCTACGCTCTGACTGTTACGCTACGCTCTGACTGTTACGCTCTGACTGTTACGCTACGCTGACGTCGCACTGATGTTACGCTCGCTCTGACTGTTACGCTACGCCTGACGATTACGCTACTGACTGTTACGCTACGCTCTGATGTTACTGCGCTCTGACTGTTACGCTGCGCTCTGACTGTTACCGCTCTGACTGTTACGCTCGCTCTGACTGTTACGCTACGCTCTGACTGTTACGCTACGCTCTGACTGTTACGCTACGCTCTGACTGTTACGCTACGCTCTGACTGTTACGCTACGCTCTGACTGTTACGCTACGCTCTGACTGTTACGCTCTGACTGTTACGCTACGCTCTGACTGTTACGCTCGCTCTGACTGTACGCTCTGACTGTTACACGCTCTGACTGTTACGCTACGCTCTGACTGTTAACGCTCTGACTGTTACGCTACGCTCTGACTGTACGCTACGCTCTGATGTACGCTTGACGTCTACGCTCTGACTGTTACGCGCTCGCTCTGACTGTTACGCTAGTACGCTCTGACTGTTACGCTACGCTCTGACTGTTACGCTCGCTCTGACTGTTACGCTACGCTCTGACTGTACGTCGCTACGCTCTGACTGTTTATTACGCTACGCTCTGATGTTACGCTCTGACTTTTAGCTACGCTCTGACTGTACGCTCTGACTGTTACGCTCGCTCTGACTGTTACGCTACGCTCTGACTGTTACGCGCTCTGACTGTTACGCTCAACGCTCTGACTGTACGACTTACGCTACGCTTGACTGTACGCTCTGACTGTTACGCTACGCTGACTGTCGTGACTGTTACGCTACGCTCTGACTGTTACGCTAACGCTCTGACTGTTCTTACGGCTACGCTCTGACTGTTACGATCCTACGCTCTGACTGTTACGTCGCTTGACTGTACGCTACGCTCTGTGTTCTCTGACTGTTGTACGCTTTACGCTCTGACTGTTACGCTTACGCTCTGACTGTTCTACGCTCTGACTGTTACGCTACGCTCTGACTGTTACGCTCTGACTGTTACGCTACGCTCTGACTGTACGCTACGGCTTGACTGTACGCTACGCTCTGACTGTGTACGCTCTGACGTTACGCTCGCTCTGACTGTTACGCTCGCTGACTTAGTTACGCTTACTGCGCTACGCTCGACTGTTACGCTACGCTCTGACTGTACACGCTCTGACTGTTCGCTACGCTCGACTGTACTGTCTGACCTGTTACGCTCTGACTGTTACGCTCCTGACTGTTACGCTCTGACTGTTACCCGCTATACGCTCTGACGTACGCTCTGACTGTTACGCTACCGCTCTGACTGTCTACGCTACTGCTTCCTACTGTCTGACGCTACGCTCTGACTGTTACGCTACGCTCTGACTGTTACGCTACGCTCTGACTGTTACGCTACGCTCTGACTGTTACGCTCTGACTGTTACGCTACGCTCTGACTGTTCACGCTCTGACTGTTACGCTCGCTCTGACTGTTACGCTACGCTCTGTACGCTTCGCTACGCTCGACTGTACGCTACGCTCTGACTGTTACGCTACGCTTGACTGTTACTGCTCGCTGACTGTTACGATACGCTACTGATGTTACGCTCCGATGACGCTCGCTTGATGTACGCTACGCTCTGACTGTTACGCTCTGACTGTTTACGCTATCGCCGACTGAGTCGCTCGACTGTCCTCTGACGTACGCTCTGACTGTTACGCACGCTCTGACTGTTACGCTCGAACGCTCTGCTGACTGTCGCGCTACGCTACGTCTGACTGTTACGCTTACTGCCTACGCTCTGGACCTGTTAACGCTCTGACTGTTACGCTACGTTGACTGTACGCTCGCTGACTGTTACGCTCTGACTGTTACGCTACGCTCTGACTGTTACGCTCTGACTGTTACGCTTCTGACTGTTACGCTACGCTCTGACTGTTACGCTCTGACTGTTACGCTACGCTCTGTACGCTCTACTGTTACGCTACGCTCTGACTGTTACGCTACGCTCTGACTGTTACGCTACGCTTGACTGTTACGCCGTCTGGTACTGTTCACGCTACGCTCTGACTGTTACGCTACGCTCTGACTGTTACGCTACGCTCTGACTGTTACGCTCTGACTGTTACGCTACGCTCTGACTGTCACGCTCTGACTGTAGCGCTACGCTCTGACTGTTACGCTACGCTCGACTGTTACTCTGACTGTACGCTACGCTCTGAACTGTTTACGCTCTGACTGTTACGCTACGCTCTGACTGTCACGCTACGCTCTGACTGTTACGCTAGCTACGTACTTGAGTTACGCACGCTCGACTGAGTACGCTACGCTCTGACTGTTAGCTAGCTGCTGTACGTACTCTGACTGTTACGCTACGCTGACTGTACGCTTGACTTACGCTACGCTCTGACTGTTACGCTACGCTCTGACTGTTACGCTACGCTCTGACTGTTACGCTCTGACTGTTACGCTACGCTCTGACTGTTACGCTCTGACTGTTACGCTACGCTCTGACTGTTACGCTCTGACTGTTACGCTACGCTCTGACTGTTACGCTCGACTGTTACGCTACGCTGACTGTTACGCTACGCTCTGACTGTTACGCTACGCTCTGACTGTTACGCTACGCTCTGACTGTTACGCTACGCTCTGACTGTTACGCTACGCTCTGACTGTTACGCTCCTGACTGTTACGCTACGCTCTGACTGTTACGCTACGCTCTGACTGTTACGCTACGCTCTGACTGTTACGCTACGCTCTGACTGCTACGCTACGCTCTGACTGTTACGCTACGCTCTGACTGTTACACTCTGACTGTTACGCTACGCTCTGACTGTCACGCTCTGACTGTTTCGCTCCGCTCTGACTGTTACGCTCTGACTGTTACGCTCTGACTGTTACGCTACTCTAGTAGTGTAGTGCTCAGCATGCACTGACCAGCTGGCAAGTGTCTTAACTGACATTTCCAACCTCTCCCTGACCCAGTCTGTAATAGCTACATGTTTCAAGCAGACCACCATAGTCCCTGTAATGTAACAGAAATTAATGTGGAAAAAGTCAAGGGGTCTGAATACTTTCCGAATGCACTGTAAAAATCTTGTCAAATATTATATTATAGGTCCATACGCTAAATCGCCCCACTGTCTTCCGGTTCAATCTCACTGGTATCTTTGCCATGTCATTGTCCAGCTGATATCTGTGTGTGTGTGTGTGTGTGTGTGTGTGTGTGTGTGTGTGTGTGTGTGTGCCCCAGGGGAATCATTTATGGTTTTAAAAAAAGTTTGCCCCTCTCCAAGGTGTGGTGGGACGGCAGAGGCAGAAATGTTTTGACTTCGAAGAAAACCCGTTTCCGAAACCCCCCCCCGGGGCAAAGTTACACCACGGGGCGCGCAACCAGGTGGGAAGAGCGGGGGTTATAACAAAACAACCAACCCTGAATAAACCTTCCGATAGGTTTGTGAAAATTTTGGGTTGCCCAAATCCCCAGAAAAAGGGAAA